TTTCATATGATTTACTTTACATCCCTGTGACTATTTTGTAACTACCAATTTGTACTTCTTAATCCCTTCCACTTTCTCACTGACCCCCAAGCCCCCTGCCCCCCACCTGGCAGCTATCAAAATGTTCTCTGTATCTACAAATTTGTTTCTGTTCTATTTGTTTATTTTGCTGTTTAGATTCCACATATAAGCAAAATCACATTGCATCTGTCTTTCTCTGTCTGACATACTCCACTCAGCACAATACCCTCTAGGTCCATCCCTGCCACTGCAGATAGCAAGAACCCATTCCCTTCCATGGCTGAGGAATATTGCATTGTATATATGTACCACCTACTCTTTATCCATTCATCCATTGATGGACACCCAGGCTGTCTCCACATCTTGACCATTGTAAACAATTCTGCAATGAACATATGGATGTACACGTCCCCTTGAAGTAGCATTTTGGGTTTCTTTGGATAAATGCCCAGAAGTGGGATTATTGGCTCCTTCACTGTCTCTTGTTACAACCTTTGTTTTAAAGTCTATTTTGTCTGGTATAAGTATTGCTACCTCAGCTATTCTTTGTTTGCATTTTCATGAAATATGTTTTCCCCATCCCTTTACTTTCAATCTGTGTGTGCCTTTCGATCTGAAGTGAGTCTCTTGTAGGCAGCATATGTAAGGGTTTTGTTTTCTTATCCATCCAGCCACTCTGACTTTTGATTGGAGCATTTATTCCATTTACATTGAAAGTGATAGTTATTTAACTATTGCCATTTTATTATTCATATTTTTGATCTTCTTTGTTTATTCCCTCTAATGTATTATTTACTTCAGATATTGTATTCCTCATTTCTGACTTTTTAAAATGCTTTCTATCTCTATTTTTATGTTTCCTATCTCTTTTGTTGAAGTTCTCACTGAGATCATTGAGCATCCTTATAAACAGTGTTTTGAACTCTGCTTCTGGTAGATTGCTTATCTCCATTTTGCTTAGTTCTTTTTCTGGAGCATTGTTCTGTTCTTTTATTTGGGACATGTTTCTTTGTCTCTCCATTTTGGCTGCCTCCCTGTGTTTGTTTCTATGTATTAGGTATGGCTGCTATGCCTCCCAGTCTTAGTAGAGTGGCCTTATGTAGTAGGTGTCCTGTGGGACCCAGTGGCACAGTCTCCCTGGTCACCTGAGTTGGGTGCTCCACCTGTGTCCCTTGTGTGGGTTATGTGTGTCCTCCTCTTGTAGTTGAGCATTGGTTGCTGTCTGCAGGTCAGTGGGAGGGGTTGACCCTCAGGCTGATTGGTTGTGAGGACTGGCCATGACTACAGTGGAGGAGATGTGGTGCAGGGGCTGACCCTACAGAGCAGGGGTCACTTTAGCGGGGCTCTGGTGGCTGACCAGTCTGCCCTTTGGGTGTGCCATTTCTTGGAAGCAGCCATGTAATGCTCTGGCTTGGTCTGAAGCTGGCCACTGGGAGTGCCAGCCCTGTGGCTTCCTGCAAAGGGTCCCCATGCAGGCCAAGTTTAGCCTCAGCCTTTGCCCTGCCCAGGGCCACCTGGTATCAGCCATAAAGCAATCTGCAGATGGGCGCCACCTGCACTGGGCTTGGAGGTGCCTTGAGAGGCCAACCCGCAAACTGAGGCCAGCTGTCGCTAGTGCTAGGCTTAGGTCTGCTCAGCCAGAGGTACGGGACATGCCAAAGCCAGATGCTACTCATTTGGATTTTGTGAACCTTTGAGAGATTTTAGGAAAGTCCACAGCATGAGCTAAGACAGGTTGTTTGTAGAGAAAAGCCACTGGAAGCAGCTTCGGTGTGTCTGAAAGTTGGGTGGGGTGTGGTATCAGGAAATTACTGGGGGGTGGGGATGTGTGGATGAAAGGTGATAGCCAGTTTGATGAAAACTTAGATATTTGAACTCTTATTTTTCTGACTATCAAAGTCAATAATCGACTATCTATTGATTCTTCCCCTATGAAAGACAAGAACATGCCCTTTCTCGTATCCTTCTAACTACTTGGGCATTTGTTAATATAAAATTATTATTTTAATCTTTTAAGAATTATTGTATTTGCATTCTGTTTTGAATCTATATTTTCAATTATTATTAGGCTTAAATCTGTGATTACCTAGTCAATGCTTCCCATTTTTATCTTGTCTTTTATGTATTCTCTTTATATTGAGTTATTCACTCATTGCTCAGGCAGTTACATCCTCGAGTAACAATTCAAATTGAGAGTATGGGTGACATTAATTTTAAGCTCTTGGATATCAGCAAATGTCTGTCTCTTGCTTTCACATGTGAAGTTCCCAACTATTTTTTCCTTAAACATCTATAAAAATGCTTCCTTCATTTTCTAATCAAATGCCAAAATTAATTAGTCTGAGAATTTTTGATTTTGGCACCTTATAGTTAACTTTCTCAGCCTGGATTCTAGTAGATTTCCTCTACCCTTCATCCTTATAATTTGAAAAACTGGTCAGGCTTAAAAAAAAATGTCTCCTGGTATACAGTAAGTTCTTTTATTCTGTATGTATAGGTTTTTTCCCCCCCACAGTATATCTTTTGTTTATGCACAGATTTTTCTTCGTCTCATAAGAAATTTCTATTTGAACCTTCTGGGTCTTTCTTCCATAAATGGTTTTTCTCAGTACGTTTGTTCTTTGTTCACTGGATCTCTTTATCAACCGTCTTTTCTCCCATCATTTTCAAGTCTGCTCTTTTCCATCTTTGTGTTGTGCTTTCCAGGCTTGTCCCTTACATCTCTGAATTGCTTTTCGATGGTGTTGGTTCTGCTCTTTGCTGATTCTTATGCCAATTTAAATTGGGGTACTGCATTTCTTTCAATCCTTTTAAAATTATTTTGAGCAATCACAAAGCCATGGGAAAAGATGGAAGTATAGTACAACAAACTTTTTTCATGAACCAGTTGAAAGTAAGTTGCCAGCAGGATGCCCCATAACCACAGAATACTTTAGTGTGTGTCTGCTATAAACAAGCACATTCTCTCACATAACTACAACACAAGTGTCAAAAGCAGGAAATTAACACTGATGTGCTGCTACCATCGTATCCTCACATTCCATTCACATTTTATCACTTGTCCCAATAAAGTCCTTAATAGAAAAAGGATCCAGTTCAGACTCATAAGCTGCATTTCATTGTCACACGTCTTTAGTCTCCTTTAGTCTGGAACAGTTCCAAAGTCTTTCCTTGACCTTCATGACTTTTACACTTTTGAAAATTATATGCCAGTTGATTTACAGTATGCAATACTATATTCTATTACCCCTCAATTTAGGTTTGTCTGATTCCTCAGGATTATGTTCAGGCTGTGCATCTTTGACAGGACTATCACAGATGTGATGCTGGGCTCTTCTCATTGCATCCTACTAGCTGGGGTATGATTTCAGTTTGTCTCACTACTGACGATGCTCACCGGAGTCACTTGGTTAAAGTGGTGTCCTCCAGGCTTCTCCACTGTAAAACTATTCTTTTATTCCTGTGTAGTCATTGTGTTTAGAGGTAGTTTGAGGCTATGTAAATATCCTTTTCTTCATAAACCTTTATTTAATTAAGTAATTAATTAGTTACTACCTGTAAGGATATACATGGTGCCCTGGTTTATTCAACAGCTTACCACTTATTACCAATATTAATTATTTTGATGCTCAAATTATCTCCATTATGGTCAGTGGGAGTCCTTTCAAGTCAGCTCTATGTCCTTCTGGCATGTCTCCATCATTCCTTGAGTGCTTCCTTGCTTTCTGTCTTAAAATGTGTCAGGCTTACCTTATACTTTCTCTGTCTCAGTTTTGGAATCAACCATTTCTTTAAGGAGCCCTAGTTCATGTTCACAGAACATGGTATCTAGAAACCATTTCACACGCACCTTGGGCCATCGCTCCCTGGGAATGGCAGTTAGCGCTGTGCTATGGCCATGGTGGCATATACTCTTCACGTGACTATTTCTCTATGTCTCTTTCTGCCTCTCTGTCACTACCTCTTCCACTCCCTCTTAGAGCTGAATGTGTTCAAGTTTCTATAAATGCAGGTATGATGCAATAACACCATATCTTCCCACTAGAGCAGACAGTACAGAACTGAAAGACCTGGGAACAGAACTGGGATTCCAGTGCGCGGTTTTGGGCATATCCTCAGACTTCCTTGGCCCTCATTTCTTCATTTGTAAAGTGAAGGTAATAATATCTGCCTTATTACCTCACAGAATTCTGATAAGTTACAAGCTCCCAGCTCCTCATCCTACAGGTGAAGAAACTGAAGTCTCACGTTGGGGAGAGAGCTGCACAAGGTCACACACCTGGCTTAAGATGGAGCAGGAAAAGTCAAGCTTTCCTGATTTCCAGTTCTATATGTAATGCTCTGAAAATTGTAAACATGGAGGATTATGCCATAGATGGGTGAAAGCTCACTGAGAACTTTCTATAAGTTTTTTGAAGCTACGTCCACTATAACAAAAATGAGAAAATATCCAGGTCCATACTTTGCACCCTTAGAAGAAAATTGTTTGCCGATAAGGACAAACCTACCCTGAATCATTCATGCTCCTCCTGCTTGAATTCTTCATGACTTAATTTGTGCATAGTATTTCCTTTGATGTCAACAGAGGCCCCCTGCATTCCTTTGGGTGGAACGACCCTCTAGAAGGTTCTAAGGGACAAACTGGGGCACAGGTAGATGGATAACCAGCCAGTGAGTTGATGTGAATGAATGGGATGAAAAGCCTCACTTTGCTGCCTCTAAGCTTGGACTTGACACCAAGGAGCAATATCATGTGCTAGTGGTGTCGAGGAGGAGAAAAACTTACATTTATGGAGCCCTGTGCTGGGAGATTTCACATAAGCTAACACATTTAATTCTCGTAACTCTGAGGACACTGAGGCTGAGAAGCTGTGTAACTCATTTAAAGCCACATGACTGGCAATGGTGCAGCCAGGGGTCAAGCACAGCCTTGACTTGAGAGCCTGGCCCTTCCCTTCAGGCCAGGCTTCCATACTGACCAGAGAAGGCTATGGCGAAGATCCCACCTGTGGCCGCATCACGGTGGAACTTGAGCAGGACCTGGTTGGTTGAGCTATGCAATATTTTCTTGGCCAAGTTCCTGGTGAAAACTCCAAGCTGTGGAGCTGTCTGCTGTGGCCCATCCCTGCAATAGGAAAGAAGGTCCTGGCATGTCACAAGTCACTCTGGCTGCCTGCTCTACCTGGTGCCATTAGTGACCTTAAGAGGGACCTGGAGTAGGTAGCTGTAACTTTTATAGCACCCAATACTGACTTTCCCCAATGCCTAAACGCCTCTGTTTAATCTCTCCCAACAGTTGACAGAGTTGGTGAAGCCCACATTTGTTTCTTATTCACCTGATTCTTTACCAGCCCAGTCTCCTTAATGGTCTCTTGGGCGACACTGCCACCCAAGAAGCATGAGCCATGGAGCAGGGCTGTGGGTCTTACCATAGGTTCTTCTCTATCCGAGGCAGCACTGGGACAGGGCCACGGAAGAGGTGTGGGAGACTCATGCTACTATCTATGCCAGGCAAAGAGACAACCATGTTACCTTTCTGGGCAAAGGACTTCTTTCCTGGAGAATTATCTAGTCCCTTCCAACTATTCTTAACTATTGTCTGGAAATTAATCCAGGGAAGTCTGGTTACAGTTATCCATTCCTGGGAATTTGGGGAAGAGATTTCCAGTATCCCCTATTGATTCCCAGGATGGCAGTAACCTCCAAACAAAGGAATTTTAAAATTATATCTTTGTCCAAAGATCAAGTGGTTTGGAAAAAAAACTGTCAAGGAACTGTACTTATCAACTAATAATTTTATTCCTATTTTAAAATGAACTCAAGATATTCTAACTATATAACTCAAGGCTGAGCTGTCTAATTTGTAACCATTAGGCCACATGTGGCTATTTACATTTAAAGTAATTAAAATTCAATAAAATTTAAATATCAACTCCTCAGTCACTCTAGTCACATTCAAGTACTCAATGGCCACTCGTAGCTAGCAGCTACCATATTGGACAGCACAGATATAGAATATTTCCATCACTGCAGAAAGTTCTGTTGGACAGTGCTGGCTCAGCATGAGATGACCAGTGGGACTTCACATAATTCCACCCCAAAGCTCTTTCATTAATCTGAGTAGCTTATCTTAGGAAATGCAGAATTTTGGTTTAGACTCTGGAAATACTGCGAAAAGTCTGCATACCTATGACCACTCCCTCTCACAAACCCACTGGTACTTCCATGGACCGCTAGCAGGACTCCAGGTTGGGAACCACTGCCCTCCCCTACTCTCCCCTCAAGGAGTCATGAGGGCTAACTGAAGCTGAGCCCGCATTTCACTGTCTCTATTTGAAACCCAGGAGGCTGACAGTCATGTAAATCTATTCAGCTCTTGGTGTTCTGAAAAAATAGACGGGTAATCCAGCTTAGAGCCCAGCTAACGTCCCTTTCTTATTGGCTGTTGACATGGCAGCTGGCCCTACCAGACGGTGATGAAGTCTCCAGAGGGCTCTGTCTGCAGCAGGCTGAGGTTGAGGCGGATGCCATGGCCAATGGGCACGGTGATCAGCCAGACACAGTCTTGGGGACTGGAGTATGGACTGGGGAATCCAGGGGAGTACACAGTGCCATTGGAAGAGGTGATGTTCCCACCGCAGGGGACTGCAGGGAGGAAACACGAACACATGAGCGCTGGAGACCGCCTCCCATCGGAGATTCAGATGACTTCCTAATGAAGTCCCAGTTCTGAGCACAAATCATTCTATTCAAGGTGATCAGGTGGGGTGGGGGGAGAGGCGATGGGGCTGAGGATGGCTGGGCCTGGCTTTCTCCATCAGGCCAAACACACCACTCCCCATCCAATTCAGTGCAGGTGCCTCTATGGGCCTGCCTCAGCCTCCGGCCTCGCTCTTTCTCTTTCTCATGGACGAGACCTGCCCAGAAGGAAGGCTACACTAAAGCTCTCCCTTCTCTTTTCCTAGGAATGGGGGTGGTGGTGCAGATGTTAGAGTCAAGGCTGCAGTACTTTTGCTGACGAGACAAAAGGGAGTAAGCACACCAAAGCACATGGTTCTGTTGCATGGCATTCACAGTCCACTGGGATATAGTCACGTATACTGGCATCTATAGCACAGGGGGTGCTGCAGGCCATCAGCGTGGAATACCACAGGAACATTTAGGGAGCCCCTCATCTGGTTTTGTGAGGGTGGGGAAGGATCCCTGGAGGAATCCACATTTAGACTCAGACCCAAAGGATGACAAGGGCTAAGCAGGCAAGGCAGGAAAGGGGGGCAATGCGCTTGAGGAAGGAACAGCATGTGCTAGGACCTGGAGGAAAGAGAACGTGGGACCTGGGAAAACTGAAAGTATTTCAGCTTAGCTGGAGTGCAAAGTCTGTGAGAATACCAGGAGGGAGGTGGGAAGCAGGCCCTGAAGGACCTGGTGTGCCACATTAAGGGGGTTGGAATTTACCCCAAGGGAGGTGGGGATGCCTTGCTAACTTTTGAGTGGGAAAGTGTCAGGAGTATACTGATGGTTTTGAAGACTCCCTCCAGCTACATTGTGAAAAATGGGTCGCGGAGTGCAAAACTGAAGGTTGGGAGAGCCTCATCTAAGTGGTGGCCTGGAGTAAGGGAGAGGCAGTGGACAGAGAGAATGGATGCATCTGAAAGGTAATTAGGATGTCGCATTAGGAAGACTTGGTGAATATGGTAGGTAAGTGAGAGGGAAGATGCCTCAGTTAAGGGCTGAGTAACCAGGTGACTAGAGGTGCCTTCAGTAGATGAGGATTCTGGTTTAATGGCAGAAAGACAGTGAGTTCAATTTTGAATATGTTGAGATTTACATGCCTCAGGATAAGTGAAGAAAAAGATGACCAAAGAGTTGGCGAACAGAAAGGTAATTGGAAAAGAAGAGAATAAGGCAACAAAAAGAAGCTAAGGGAAGAACTTTCTCAGAAGAACTTTCTGACTCAAGATGTCTGACTGAGCACTGCTCTTTTCTCTCTCTTGTGATGTCATAAAAAGACAAGGTGTAAAAAGGAATAAAAGGAAGAAAGTTCACAGTGAAGCTTGTCATACAGCACGCGATTGACCAATAATTCATGATGGACTGGTTATGCATAAGGGATAGTTCTGAAAATCTGAAAAACAGACTAGGGGTTTAATAGTTTGGAAATTGCAATCTTATACTCTAATACTAGTATATTTCAGTTCTGCAAAGAAGGTCTGGTTTTCTATGGAGAGTTAATACTTCAAGCTCACTGTCTATGAACGAGTTACTGTGCTGGGTACTCACATGAGCTATCTTGAAACCCTCCTAGCTCTTAAAAGTAGAGACGAGAAGCCCCATTGTACCAAGGAAGAAACAAGCTCAGAGAGGGGAAGTGGTTCAGGAATGGAGCCCAGGAGCTGGGGTACTTTCTCCTGGACTATGCTGTCCTTCTGCCAAGCTTTCCTCTTTTCAGACAAATCCCAGCTTTTCCTCCAGGAAAATGCTAAGCCTCAAGAGAGAAAAATGAAGGAAAATGGAGCTGAAGCAAGCAGATGGGGATAGAGGCAGCACAACCTCTAGGTCTTCTTCCATTCTAGTTCTGGCTGATGAAGACCTAGGAAAGTGCCACCTCTAGCTCTGATATTATCAACTCAGATCTCTCTGGGCACATGTAGGAGAAAGGGAATGAGGAGGGGAGTGTGATGAAGAGGGGGACAAGAAGTTTCCTAGAAACAGGCTTTATTCTCTTCTCCCTTTGGGAAGGTGCCATGATCTCTACCTTTCTACCCCTCAGCACACCACTGGCTCCTACACTCTCATGTATATAGTCTTCCCTTCTGATTGGAGACATTTAGCCCATCAAGTTGGATACTCCCAAGGACTGAGTATGTTTTCCCTTGGCTGTGGCCCATATCTCCTCCAGGCCTCCCAAGCACTGGCCCAGAGTTCTGTCCCCGGGACCTCTCCCTGGGTAGGCTGGGTCCCATCCCTATGAAAACAGATGGACAAGGCTTGCCAAGACCTTCCAGCATGAATGACCCCATGGGCAGGTAGGTAGATATAGGACTACTCTAGATCAGTCTGCCCAAGAAAAATCCCAAGGGATGAGGGAGGGACATACCTTCACACCTGGGCAGGGGGTGGTCCCAGTTCCGATTGGTGCCATGTTGACATGTGAGGACAGGATGGCCCATCAGTTGATATCCTGGAAGGCACTCGAAGGTCACTGATTGTCCGACATTGTAGCCAGCTCCTCTCACAATGCCACTGGCAAAGGGCTCTGGGTCTGGGCACTCTTGAAGTTCATAGGCTGGAAAAGATCGGGAGAGAAGGCTCTTTATTTTCTCTGGGAATTTCCTCCCCAGCCAGAAGAGGAGCGGCAGAGTCGCCATAGTGATAAAGCACCAAGACTTGGAATGTACTGGCATATAGTAAGAGCTCAGTAAATGTTATGTATTTATTATTGTTTCCATGGGCAAAGGAGGCTCAAGGAAGACAATGCTAGACTGAACCATTATTTTTGGGGCCAGGTGTTGACCTGGCACTTCCATGTGCTTATCTCATTTAACCATGATGACAGTAATCAAGGTCACAAACACAGGAAGCAGTGAGGACTTGAGTGAGAAACCTATCAGGAAGGTTTCCAACTCTAAGAAACCTATCAGGAAGGAAGTAACCTGGTGGGAACATGCCAAACCTATGGCAAGGAGAGAAATTATCAGTGGGAATAACTGGGTTAAAAGGAATGCATGACTCCCATACAAGGAAGTCCTTCCAAAGAGAAAGAAATCTGCTTTCATGAGAATGGGTGGGCCTGACTCAAAACCTGACACCTTGATGGAAACACTGAGGCCTGCCCCACAGGGAGAGGTCTCTGAGAGATGTACTGAGCATGTGCCACAGAACACAGCCTTTGGTTAACTGGATCCACAGGACAAATAATAGTTTTTGTGGCTGCAATCGGGCCCATCCTACATAGGAAATCAGCAGTGGGAGTAGAAGGAACGTTCTTACGGTGGAAATTCTCAGTGGAAGGAGTGGAAACCAAACGAATGCTCCATGGAAGTGGATGTATTTGTCACATGTCATAACAATATAAATAACAATGCTCGTAAAGCTGACATTTCCTAAGCATGCCCTCTGTGATGGTGGCTGTGTTATGCATTTCCATTCAATGTGTACAAAGAAGTCTTAGTGGGAAGAACTGGGCAGGTTTCACTGAAAAATCATCAAAGTAATTGGGTGTGTCAATAAATTGAGCAGCTAGAGTGGGAGTGGGTGGGATGGTCAGCCAAAGCAAAGATGTGGCCCTGTCAGCAGCAGGGGCTTGGGGCAACCTGGCAAATGGAAGTCACAGTATTATAGAAGCAGGGAGCCTGTTGCCCAGGTAGGTGACCAAATGGATGGGTGGAACCTTTAAAGAGACGTGTTGGTGGGATTGTGTGGACTCAGCGATGGTGAGGAGCCTAAGGAGAGGGCGCCCATGTTAGAACCAGGAGCAGCCTTAAGGGGAGTGCTTGGGTCTCTCCTATTGTAACTGTCTCACCTGGAAGAAGGTGGACTTCACAAAAAGAGAGACACTTAAGTGACAGTACCTAGATTGCTTTCATACTGAGGAAAATCTCAGAGCCTGTTTCCGCCAGGAGAAGCTTCAAAGAGACTGGGCAGAAACGAACCCCAAGAAGCAGACTCCCTAAAGGAGAGTAGCTAGGCTTGTCCCACAGGGAGACACTCCAGTGGAAACAGATACAATTTCAAATAAAGTGCCATAGCTAAAAACATTAATAATCATGACACCTAACATTTTGGAATAATTCTATGGGTTGTCCTTTGGCTAAGTTCTTTATGAATACAACCTCCTAAAGATGTTTTAATGGAAAAAGTTAAGCCTGTCAGACAGGGAGACCTGGGTAGGAGTAGCTTATGCTATTATTAAAAATTTGGGGGGAATATTTACCTGACGAAGAGAAAGGAAAACTCCAGCCTAGGAAACTCAGAGTATCTAATAGAACAAATTTTGAGGAAAAGTAAGGAGTTGGATTTCTTCCCAAGAAAGTTGAGGGACCACAGAAAGCTGGGCCTGCTTGTTAGCAATAGCCCCGGTGGTAACAGCTGGCTCTTTCAAGAAGCTGGTCTTTTCATAAAGGAAAAATCTAGGGTGAGTGGTTAGAGCTTCTTTACAAGGTACAACTCCATAGGGCTAAGGAAGGTGTCAGTAGAGAGTGTGGGCCTATCGGGCAGGAAGGATTATTTGGGTCTGTGACAAATTGTAAGGCCTCAGTGGGAGTATCTGGGCCTTGGGCACAGAGACAACCCAGTCCAAGAGTTTGGGGCCATCAAATGAGGAGCCTTAATGGAAGTCGAGGTCAAGTCTGAGAGGGAGCAGCTGCCCTGACATCAAGAGTGATTTCACAGGGGGCCGGCCGAGTTACGCGTTGGTTAAGAGCTGGCTTGGGACGCCAGAAGGCCCCGGTTCGGATCCCACATATGAGGGCCAGTGACACTGCCCTCTACAGCTAAGATGCTGAACAACAGCTCGACCTGGAGCTGGGTTGTCATGAGTTGTCGGCGATGGCGTAGGCTGCAGCCCCTGCTGTAGCGGGTTGCCATGGGCTACCGTGTGTAGCCGGCAGCCAGCGTGAGCGGCCAGCAGCCGCCATGAGCTGCCGTCCAGAAGCCGGCGACTGTGATCTGCCTCGCCTGGGAAGAGCACAATGATGGTGCCAACTTGGGCCAGTGAAGCAACGTCCTCCACAACTAGACTGAAGAACAAAAGGACAGCAACTTGTCTGTTCCCCTTCCCCCAATTCCCCAATAAAAAAAAAAAATCTAAAAAAAAAAAAAAGAGTGGTTTCACAGGTGTCATCAGGACTGTGGCCCATGGGCAGGCGCCAAGGGAGTAGCAGGGCCTGTGACCCATGGGAAGCCTCGGGGGGAACATTCAGGAAAATCATGTCGGGCAAATATGAGTGGGAGGTGGTAGGCCCACCACAGTGTGGAACCCCAGTGGACATTGCTGGGCCTCTCACACAGCCGGGCCAATTCCTGGTGGAGGTGTTGGGCCTCTGAAGACATACATAGAATCCCCTTGTTTCCGGCTCCCTCCCCCTGCACCACACACAGGGAAAATCCTCAGGGGACTGGGCCTCTGAACATGTGACGACAGTGGGCATAACGGGCACATCACAGAGGAACACTAACCCAGACTGTTGGCCTGTCGCCCCGGAAGCCTCCGTGCAGGGCCTTGTGCGGGGAGCCTCAGCAGGAGTACGTCACAAAGGTGGAGGCTGGGGAGGGGCTAAGCCCGAGACCAGGGCTCCAGGTAAGTAGGTAGGTCTCTTGTATGAGAGGGAGCTGATGGAGTCTGAGGGACTCAGAGGAGCAGCTTTCATAAGGACAAGTGGGCTTCTCAAACGGGGAACGTGGTGAGAGTGTCTGGTTCCATCACACTGACTCAGTGGGCGGGGCTATGCCCATCACTGGGGTGAAGGCACAATGTGTGTGGGTAGGCCCCGGAGCAGCTGTCCCTGTCACAACAGTGGCATCATCAGTACTTGCATTTATTCAAGAGGAGAAGCCTCACGGAGAGCACTGGGGCTATCGGACGGTGCCATGGGTTGAACCGTGTCCTCCTCAGATTCCTATGTTGGAGTCCTAACCCCCAGTACATCAGAATGTGATCTTTAGAGATAAGGCCTTTATCTATCTTTACCTAAATTACCATGAGGTCACTAGGATGGGTTCTAATCCAATATGGCTTGTGTCCTGATGAAAAAGGGAACTTTGGAGACAGACAGACAAAGAGGGGGGGAAACCATGTGAAGATGAAGCCAGAGATGGGGGTGATGCTTTGACAAGTCAAAGCATGCCAAAGATTGCCAGCAAACCACTGGAAGCTAGGAGAGAGGCATGGAGTGTATTCCTCCTCACAGCCCTCAGGACTTCCAGCCTCCAGAGCTGTGAGAGAATCAATTTCTGTTGTTTAAGCCAACCCAGTCTGTGGTACTTTGTTACAGCAGCCCTAACAAGCTAATATACAGGGGAATCCTGAGACAGCCATGCATCTGTCCCAGAGAGGAACACTGACCATGAATTTGGGCCTCAGTCTCTTCTGTGACAGCCTGGAGCCGTCTGATGCGTCATGGCCCATTTGACAGCCCCGCACCGCCCACCAAGGCTGTGTGCACCTCACAGGCACAGGCACGCTTAGTTAAGGAAGGCTGGCCTCTGTGACAAGCCCACACACAGCTTCACTGGGTGCGGCAGCTTCCTTACTACTGATGAAGATGAAGTGTCACTCTTTGGGTACAAGGCACAGCTTCTCCCTGTTATTTTTCTGGTGTGAGAGGCCTGGCTCCTCCTCCTGAGGCTTGCCCTGTGGCGACAAGCCCAAGCCGCTCGCTGAAGTTCCCTCCAGAACAGACAGTTCTCTGAGGCAGCGGCACCTGTATCACTGGCCCAACGTGCCCACCTCATGGAACACCCTGTAAGGCCTTCCCTAAATGACAAGCCCAAATCCACACCAGTGTTCATCTCTGACAAGGGATGAGAAAGCCAAATGTCAGAACATCATATATACAGAATATTCTATATTTATGTAGAAAACCCACGAAACATTGCATATTTTCACAGGTACATAGAACGTGTATGTCAACACATGGAACACAGATCTGGAATGATCACAACAAAACAATAGTGGTTATTTCTGAGGAATAATACTGTGTTTGGAGGCTGCAGACAAGGCGTGCTTGGCTTTATCGGTAATGTTTTAATTTCTTTCTTTATTTCTTCCTTTCTTTAACAAGGTGAGTGTGTTTGTAACTTGTGTAATTAAAAATTAGCTTTAAAAAAGAAAATTGCAAAAGAGTATTTATAATTCGATGCGGTTTTGGTGAAGACATAATAATATAGTTACATGTATATAATTTCTATATGTGGAAAAAATGGGGAAATAAAACTGTTGAAAATTGCTATCTCTGTATCAGGTGGGGTTTGGAAATGCGATTCTGGGAGAACCTTGACTTTCTATGATGCACTCATAAAAAACCTGTAATATTTTAATTTTTTTATAAGTATGTATTAGTATTGGGAAAAAATCTAAAAATGTGCAAAAAAAAAAAAAACCCAGTGGAAGAATCTGGGAAAATAAGTTAGAACAAATGGTTCAGTCAGCCACACTAGGGAAGCATCTGAGAGAGGTCGGACCTATCCAGGGCCGCCGTGTATAGCTGCACAGGTTGGGCAAAATTTGCAGTCACAGGTTGTGGCCCCTCACACAGGGGGAGCCTGAGTTGGAGTGGATGAGGCTTGTTCCAGGGAAAAAGTGCCAGAAGAAGTGGGATCTGTCACAGGGTTTCACCTCTGGAAGGGGCGCTACAGTGAGTGTGGTTGGGCGTCCCTCACACAGGAAAACCCTCAGTCGGAGTAAATGGGCTTGTCTCATTGTGAAGGCTCAGTGGGCTCTCCTGGGATTGTTACTGGAATCCTCCGTTATGTCATAGCTTTGCAGAGTGCAGTTGGGTCTGACATACCGGGGAGGACCCAGAGGGAGTAAGTAAGCCTATCAAGGCCAAGGGAAGTAGCTGGCGGGACACTCAGAGATACCTAAGATGGGATGCTTGCTCAGGGAAAGCTGTTGGCAAACTGGCGTGGACAGAGGTTGAGCCTCCGAGGGTGCTGTTGGACCTGCCACCCCGGAGAAGACTTGTCGAGTGGGGTTAGACAGTCTCAGCTGGGCCAGAGAGACATGCTACAGGCCTCCGTGGATAGGCCTGCCGCCACCCTCAGCCTTGCTGTGTTCTCTTCGCCTATGCGGGAAGCTGGGAAGATGGGTGGTTGTGGGTAAGAGATGGGGATAGACAGAGGAGCAAACGGGGTCCTCCTTGTCCTTACCTTGATACTCCAGCTTGAATCCTGGCCGGTTCTGGGAGTGGTCGCTGTGGAAATACACGGTGGTCTCGTGGGACGTGGACAGCAGGGAACTTGGAAGCTCACTTCCACTGAATCTGCCCATCATGCGGCTGGTCTCGTAGGGGCCGTTCCGGATTTCTATGAAGTCATGGTTGGGCTCGGTGGAGAAGTTCAGGAACTGGATGTGAGCTCCTGGGAGCGAGACAGAGGCAGACAGTGCCCAGAGCAATCCAGTCCTGCTTCAAATGTGCCGCCTCGTGAAAGCATTTCCTGCCAGAGCCCACGTGTCCCTACTGCTGACTTCCCACCCAATTAGAATTTCCAGAACGGACGTTGGGAGTTGCCAGCCCAGCCCAGTCTCTTGCCTTCAGGCAGGACTGAACTGAAAAGTATACTGTTCACTCGAAAGGAAAGGCATCAGTCGTTTCAGGGCTCCATCTCGAGTCCATTTGATTTTATCGAAAACAAAGTTCAGGATCAACACTTGAATTAATTTGTGATTCTCATGTCTAATATCAGTATAAAGATGGGTTTGCTAAAATAAACTGTTTACTGAAAAATAATAACCCCCCACACCCAGCTGAAAGACATGAACTTCAAGACTGGTATTTTCTAGAAGACTTATGATAATTCAGAAATAGAAGGCTTGGGAGAATACACGGAGCCATCTGTTCCATTAAGAAGTGATGTTTATACTTTGGGATCTTATTGGATGAATTAAGAGCTAACAACCTGACAGGTTAAATGGCTAATTAAGTCCTTAACCTACATATTAATATATTTTTTGGAGAATGGAGACGGGAATATTCATACTTGTTTATGATCATATGTCTTAAAATTAGGTTACTATTAAAATGGCATTGAAGAAATACATTTACTGAGCACAGGAAAATGTCCACAATGTTAGTTGTGAATACCTGATTGCAAAATAGTAGGTTGTATATAATTCTCATTTTTGTATTTAAAAACTAGAAGCATATTCATTGATTTGCTCCCAATATTTAGGGAACATTTGCTAAGCATCAGGGCTGTGCTAGGCACTGCATGGGGATGAACAAGACCTACAAGGTCCTCGCCTTCATGGGGTTACCTTTTCATGGTGAGGACTAAGCTGCTAGTGATTGTGTGATGGGATTGCAGATAATCTTCATTTTTAAATTTGCTCGTATTTACTTTCTGATTTGCGTGGAATGAGCTCATCTGTGTGATGTTTCTGCATCTGAGTATTTGAAGGATAAAATAAGAGTTGACATATCATGTTGAAGACACTTCCTGTTTCCTGCCCTTTCCAGTCCCCACTTCCCTCCACACAGTGGTCACTGTCATGAATTTGGAAGATATCCTTCCAGTTCATGTTTTTAAGATTCTTAAATAATATCTGGGTTTATTTGTTTTAAACATTTACATCAGTGATATACTTTACCTACAGTTTTGTAAATTAATTTTTTTATTCAACATTGCAGTTTTCAAGGTCTGCCCACGTTGATATATACTCGTAAAGATATCGTTGATCAACTTTTAATGACATATTCATTCCATTTTATGAATTATCCAACAACACTATTCACTCCCCTACTAATGAACATGTAGATTGTTTCCAAACTGTGGCTAATTTTGCAACGAACACTTTTGTACATATCATCTGTGGAACCTACGCTGTCCATTCCACTGCCCATGTACCATCCCAGCACTGTGGGCTGCACGTCCATCAAAGGGGCTCTTTAAGGATTGCAGGATTTCTGAATTGAGCCCTTGGAAAGAACTGGATGTGACCACTGTTATCTAGTGGTAGCAGCTTGTAAATGCAGTGGCTCTTTACACACTGAAGCCATGTTAGGGACTGTATTGGAGTCCATCATTCACCTTAAAGGGAGGGACCCTGGTCTTCTGCACTTGGACCCTGCAGGAAGCGTATTCCCCAGGGGCTGAAGCAGCATGAAGGACTTAAGAGATAGAGAACTCTGGTGCTCGGACATCAGGACTTAAACAGTGACGTAACATTTAAACTTCTGTTTTCCTTTCATGTTCCCCCATCACCCCTCTATCATCTGAAGTTCTTCCGGCCCATGCCTGGATGCAGAGTCACAGGGTCTCCCGTCTCCTCTCTCCTCAGTGTCTCAACATCTGAGGTTTCCCAAGGCTGCCGGCGTCACCATCATTTTGCCCCCTGATCATCTGTCCCTGGTTTCCTTCAGAAGATGGTACTAAATATAAGACTCCATCCTTTGGAGGGTCACCGACTTCTTTCCACCTCTCACAACAGATTTAAAGAAGGCCAGTTTAGATTGCTTTCTCCATCAGAAGACCCAGTCTAATAAAGGGCAAAATAAGTGATCTTCATTCCTGAGGTCACAGACCGAGAGGTGATTACAGACCTCTGCAGGAAAGTCCCCCTTGCGACATTTTGTTCCTGGGAGCAGAGTAATGACTCGGGCAACATGACCTATGTGGACAGCCCATCAGTTCCATGTCAACACAAGTCCTTTTCTCTTCAATATTTGGCATTCAATGATATTCCCAGGGCACAATACATGAATCATCAGCAATTAAATTTTGTACCCAGATCACTGTCTTCCATACTGGCATATTCCATCTCCACAAAAAAAAAAAAAAAACTCCCAATCTCTGAGACTGGCTAGAATGTGCCTACAAAGAATGCAAACTCAATTTCATGTTGACCCTGGCTCAATTTAATTAAGATGAGAAATTGGATATTATAGTTAAAAGTACAACTTGAGGTCTAGTCTTTGTAAAACAGATTCCCCCCACCTTTTTTTTTTTTAACCATCCCTGAGTTCTCATTCCACAGTCCTGGATTTTAGCTCCCTACTCAAATCATCACCACCATCATCATCATCATCATGATCATCATCATCATGGCAATTCCTAAGATTCCCTCCACCACCCTCCCTGCCACACACATTTAATGCTCTCAAAGCGTTCACATCTACCATTCTTGATTGACCCTCATGATTGTATAAGAGGTCAACAGATGAGGAAACAGAGGCAGAGAGATAAATTGCCTCAGCCAAGATTATGCTGAGTGATTGCAGCAGACAGTTCCTTTAAGTCCAGAGACCTGGGCGTGAAGACTTACCAAAGCCTACTGGCAGTGCTATTTTCCAGGAACAGTCCATGTTGCTGGGGTAGTTGCCCGGGAAGCCGGGGCTCAGGATCACCCCCTCCATCTCTTCCACTGCTCCCCCACACTGTGCTGTGACAATGAGACCAGAGGGTTAGGACAGCATTGAGGACAATACAGCGTCATGCCAATGTTTGGACGATTCCTTAGGGCAGCAATTTTGAACCTTTCCCAAGTCATAAACCTTTTTGAGAATCTACAGGAACTTACAGTCCCTCTCTTTAAAAAATTGTACACATGGGAAAAGCTGAGTACATTCAGGAAGGGCTTTCCAGCATCCTAGGACCACCCAGCGGTCCACAAACCCAAGTTATGGACTCTTGACCTTGAGCACACCCTTCTCAGGTCAGTTCCTTCACTGAGGTCACACAGCATACGTCTGCTCCAACAGAAGTAGGGCCATTTCTTACATTATCCCCTAAATCTCCCTCTTCTCATCGTCCAATCAACTCTTTCAAGTCTGAAGTGAAGGATGAAGGAAGGGGGCTGGCATGCATTGAGTCCCTCCTCTGTACCAGGCACCCTTGCAGGCTTTTTATAAATTTATGCTCCTTGGGGATGGGTGGTCCACAGATGGACCTTACCATGAGCCTGCCCTCAGAACTCTGACAAACGCCCTCAGCCAAAGTGACTGTGATTAGCATTCCATGGGGAGCCTGCCTCAAGGGGCTGGGGCATCTAGGACTCCAATCTGGGTGACTTCAGGGTCACCTGAGGATGTAGAGCTGTGGCGTGACTACAGCCTGGTTGGTCGACATCAATACTTTTCTTTCACATCTTATTAGGACAAGGTTGTGTGAGCAAAAAGGGGTTACTCAGTCATGGAATCCCAGGGAAAGGAGCAGAGGGCAGGGATCCGGAGTGTCTCAGCAAATGCTTTCTGGGGCAAGGGTTCTGTTTAGATGTGAACAGAACAGTGCCCGGGTTCAGAGCGGGAGCTCTGGCATTGACCGCTTGGGTCACAATCCCAAGGTCTCTGCTTCCTGTGTGACTTTGGGCCATTTCTAAACCCCTCCACACCTTAGTTCTCCCCAACTGTGAAATGGAACTAACAACAGTACCTATGTCACAGGGTTGTTAGGAGGTTACACCAGAAAGGACTACACTTCACTTGAAACTGGGGCTGGCATACATGGTAAACCCTCAACCAATGGCAGCCGCTGGTAATGTGAGTGGTTTTCTCGGGCGGCACTTTTGTATTAAGTCATGGAGGAAAGTGCCCTGGGCTGACCAGTCACATTTCTCAATGCTCGGTGGAGCACCAGGCCCCGTCCCTGGGGAGATCACAGAAGGGAAATACCAATATGCCCAAGTGACATTCCTTCAACTCACCTTGATTCCTAGCCCAAGGTCAGCCTGGAGGGCACTTTACAGTTGCCTGGGCATCAGAGAAACTTAGGTTTCCGTTCCTGACTCTACCTCTTTCTTTTCAATCCTAAAAGCCTTAGTTGTCCTATTTGCAAAAATGAGGATAATGATACCTCCTCTGAAGAAACACATGGCTCTGTGCCTTGCACATAGGGGCACTCGATAATTATTGTTCCTTTCCCCCCTGCCTCAACTTGACTAGATGCTTCTGAGGGTGAATACCCCGTCTTTTCTTGCATCCGTTGATCTCTTGATCATTGCTTAGCACGGGGTCAGAAACGAAACCAAGCCAAGTTCTCATTTCACATGTAACCCTCAGCATTTCTCTATTAGTGGATATTATCTGTCTGTCCCATAAAAAGTCATAGGGGAAAGCCCAAACTGCCTGGGAGTTCCTAGAAGTTCCATTTGGCCGATTACTTGGAATGAGAATGGTCATCATAACCTTTGGAAATGGGCAAGCCTCCTGCAATTTTTCATCGGGTGGGCGAAGGTTTCCAAAAACCATGCCAGCCTCAACTGAGAGTTAGAGCTTACAAAAATATCAGCCTAAAACTACTGCCTTTGAACAAACCCAGAATACCAAACTGCCTTTTGGTTTGAACGTTAACAATATGTCACTGAGCTCAAAACCCTGGTAGAAAATGGATTTGAAGGAACTGGAAAAGTCTGGGCTCTCTTACCAATACAGAGCGGAGGTGGGTAGTTCCAGCGCCGGACGGTTCCAGGCATGCAGGAGATGTGGGCGTGGCCCTGGAGGAATCAGGAACAGGGGTGGGCTAGCTGCCCCCACGGGTACAATTATATGTACAACCCATAGCAGGGGGCTCGTTCAGGGGCCTCGTGTTAGGGAATAGATACATAGATCCACTGTAGGCTGGGGAGTGAGGCAGAGGGAGAGGGATTTTTGGGAAGGATGCTTACTCGTATACCCGCCATTACTATAGAATTCTCATTACTCAAGCTTCCTTGTAAGCCTCCTTTAATTGCTAGATTCCCTCATGGCCTTCAAAGGAAAATTAAATTTTCCTAAAGTCTAATCAAACTGAAACTTTGCAGGAACATATTCGAGGCGGGCTTGTGCCAAATCACTGAAGTCAGCAAAGTTTGTCTTTTGCATAAACAGCTCTAGGAGAGGATAATGGTTCCCGGGGGAATTGGGGGGGGGGGCGGCTTCCTGTTCTCTGGCCAAGCACATCTCAGGCGACACCTGTTTCCGGCCCTGGGTGTCAAGGGGAGGTACCTGGAGGGCATATCCCGGCTCACACTGGAAAGAAACCACATCATTCACCAAGTAGCGCTCGCCAGTCTTCACTCCATTACTGGGCACGGTAGGTTCTGGACAACTGCTCAGGCCCACCGCTAGACAAGACAGAGACAGACGGAAAGGAGAATGGACCAGCCCAGCAGGTCAACGCGACCCTAGGCTGAGGGCAATGTTGGCAGCAGGGAGAAGGGTGCCTCCACATTGGGCTTTCTTTGCTCTCAGCCTCTAGGCTAGCACTTCCAAACCCTCTCACCTCACAATGCACAGAGAAAATTAGAATTACACGGCACAGAAGCCCCACAGACCCTGCCCCCTGGGCTCTCCAGAAGGCCTTTGGAGCAGGAGGGCTAGGGAGCTGCCCCAGCCCTGGCTCTAAGCCCCCAGATGCCTCTGCTTGAGCTTTGTCCACATCTCCCCTGTCTCCGACTCCCAACTTCCCTCCATTTCCCTTGCCCCAAGAAGACAATTCCTGAGAGGTAAGAAATTGGGACAGAGGTGAATGAAAGGCAAGAGGAAAGGAGAGCAGTTATCAGAGGGGCGTCTCAGTGATGCTCGGGGGCTCGGGGAGTCTCACTCTCTGGGGCAGGCTGTCCAAAGAAGTTTGCCAGCCGATGAGATGCTACTCCACTGCCTTCTTTCTCCTGTTGTGTTTTTAAGGCCAGGCCAGCTTCTCTCTGGGAGCAGTGCTGGGGCTCCTCACACGTTGCCTCCCACGGTCAGCTCAGGCCCTCACTCACCGCCAGACCCCCAGTAGCCTACCTCCTACCCTCTACCCTAAGCCACTGCTATTCCCATCCATCCTTCACTCACAGACAATTTACGTTCTTAATCCCTCTCCTTGAATCATGGGACTTCCTTGATCAGTAATTTGAAGTAGGTCCCATCACCTTTACATAGAATCTCATCATCCTGGCATTCTAGGACCTTCATGGTCTTGGCCTGGTCCTTTTCAAGGTCACCTCTACAGCCTCTCAAACCTCCTCCTTCACTCTCCTTTCTCGACTTTTCAAATTCAACCTGCATTTACTTACTTTTTACTACACACCCAGCATTGTCCACAGTGCTTTCCTAGGACATCCTTCTTACCCTTCCTCTCCTGCCTCCTCTTCCCTGCACCATCCCTTCATCACTAGAGCAGCACTTGCGGAGCACGTCCCATGAGCAAGGCTGCAGTGAGTGTGTCATACACATCATCTCGTCTCCTTGAAGCAGGTCTTAACATCCCATTTCACAGGTGACGATGCAAGCCAAGAGGCCCAGAAACGTGCCCTTAGTAGGCCCCAGAGCTGGGATTCAAATCAAACCCAGTCTGATTCCAGCTCTGCCCAAATGGAGGCCAAACCACGAGGCCACATGAGCTCACGTCCAATGCTGGCCCTGCTCTCCTCGCCTCCCCTCCAGAAATCACCCTCATCCTCTTTGAATCTCTTCCTGGCTGACTCCCACAGCAAACAGGGGTGTAGCGTCTCCTGACTGGCGGGCTTCACGCCTCCCCTGTGCCCCAAAGGAGCCCATCTGCAGGTGCGGGCTCTTAACATGCATGAACTAGACCTCTGTAAATTTACTGATGGATGGGACTTGGAATGTGCCTCTCCAGGGACAAGGGCTGGAAGAACCATGATGAGGCAAAGAAGTGGCTGTACACTGAGTTCTCCACCTACTCCAAAGCACTCTTCTTTCACAAGGGTAGCAGAGGAGGGTGTACAGGCTAGAGAATTTGTGGTTGAGTCTGACCCTGGGTACCCGCATGGCCCAGAGAGTTTGGGAGACGGCAGCCTCAGCACTCCTATTAGATTCCTGGTAGAGAGCTTCTGGTCGATAGCCCCGCTGGTAGGTCCCAGGTCCCTTGGGGAACCCAGTGTATGCAGTGCCTGCGGGGAGCCAGGCACTTGTGGAGAAGGAGTGGGAAGAACTGGCCAGCCTAGGATGCCCCAGCCCCGTCTGCTCGTGCAGCAGCTGATGATCCTCACGCCATATTCAGAGCTGAGATTCTACACGGGCATGAGACAACCACATATGCTTTTCTTTTCTTCTAAGGGTAATTCACATATAACAAAATGTACAAATCCTAAGTGTACATTTGTTGAGTTTTGACAAATGCATGCACCTGTATAAACCAAACCCCTACTGAAACTACACAACATTACTGTCACTCTAGAAAGTTCCCTCATGCCCTTCCCAGGCAACTCCCATCCTCTATGTGCATTTAAGAAGTGAATGTGATACTTGGGAATGAAGGCTATGTGGGCCTACGTCCACAAACCTGAGCAGCTGAGACAAAAGACCTTAAGGACAAGATTAAAACAATTATTAAACTAAATTTGAAGTACCTCTTGACTGTCATCTTGTCTTTCTCCAAGAGTGCAACTCAGTATTTAGTTGGATGATCACAACATAGTAACCCAAGACCTATTTACTGGAAAGGCAGTGATAGACAGAAGGAGAGGAGAGGCAGAGAGAAAGCCAGAGCAAAGGAGTGTGGTGGGATTGAAAATGCAATGGGGAGAAAAGTGAGGCCAGAGAGAGAAAGAAGGAGGGATGCAGAGCAAAGTCCATTTTAATTTCTCTTCCATTGCACAGCTTGATTTTACTTAAGCCATGCTTGCAACTAAGGGAGGATTATTTGTTTATCATATGCAATATATTACTTTTGAAAGCATATTGTTCCATTTCCATTTCAATTAAATAAACATTAAATCTGAGACACAGCAGTACACATGACTTTTCAGTATCCTTCGCAACCATTTGCCTCTGCAGTAGCAATTAATTCTCCCCTTCTGCACTTCTTTGTAGATTTACCTACAAAACAAAAATGTAACTACAGGGTCTTGGGTCCTAGGAATTTCAGACTCCAAATACTAACGGGGACCCGTGTTTTCCCCAGCCCTTCCACCATAAGAGGACAGTGCTGATAAACTTCAGGTACTGAGAAAACTACCAGTTCTCTTAAAAAAACAAACAAAAGAGATAAATGTTTCCTGGGAATGAGGCAGTAGAATGACAAAGAGATTTAGGAAGGAAGTATATCTTTGGAAGAAAAAAATAAAGAGAAGATTCTAAGAAACATTTAAGGACTCAAATTAAAATATTGGATAAGGGCACAAAACTAGAAAGAACAGAGAAAAAAGAGTAAAAGAATAAAAAAAAGTGAATTGCTCAAGAGACCCGGGATACTCTACTCCACCAGCTGAGTGACACCTGAGAGGTCTGCGGAGGAAGGTCTCAGAGGTCTCTGTCCTATTCTCTCCCCCTCTGGGTCTTTGCTTCAAGCTGTCCTGGGTCTTTCCTGCTAGGTACACTCTTCAGTTGTTTCAGGTCAAGAGCACCCTGGGATCCAGCGAATCCTCTCCCCATCACCTGGATAAAGCTCATTCGTTTTGGAGACCAGCTGGGCATCTGCATAACATCCACCACTGACCCTACCAGGTCTCCGGCACCAAGTGAGGCTTCCATCCCCCCTGCACAGGCCCATGCTGTCAAAGATGGCCATTCCAAGCCGGCCTTCCCACATTTCCAAAGACAACTGCATCACAGAGCCAGGGGTTGGGGAGGCCAGTTTTTAGGACTGGAGAACACCTCTATTTTCTTATATCCCCAATTATATACTAGGCCTAGGCGCAGACCAGGCCCCCTTCTCATTCCTGGTGAACACACAGGTTTCTGAGTGACGGACATTGGGGTGAGAATCCCATCTCTACCATTTACAGGCTGTGCTGCCTTGTGGAGGTTTCGGACCTTTGCTGAGTGAGCTTCAGCATCCTCGTCTAGGTCTGTGATAAGGCTTAAGTGGGGGTGGAGAACATACAGCCCCAGTGTGACCCCTACTCATTGTGGGTACTCAGTACCTGTCAGTTCCCACCCTGAACCCTGTACACAGCTGAGACTCTGGACTCTCACTTTTGTACTCCAAGTGGAAGCCGGCTGCCGACACGCTGATATCTGAGTAGAAATGAAGGTAGAGCTGGTTGGAGGTGCTGTTCAGAAGGGCAGGCACGGTTGTTCCTAGAGCGAGACAGAGGCCATTCAGGCTTAGCCTCCCCAGGGCCCCAGCTCCCTTTCCTCTTGCTTTTGCTACCTGCTGACATTCTGCTTCCAAGGCCCCCAACTGTCCCCAGTTATCTCACTCACTAAATGACGAATTAGCACTTCTCAGAGTCTGAGTCCCCCATGTCCAACGGAGGGGGGAGACCGCAAACAACTTCCTACAAAATGAGCCGTGGCAGAGTCTTATGTCAGCAGTAGGGTAAATTCCTCAGCTGGCCTACAAGTTTCATTCCCCCTTCCAGCCATCCTCAAAATGACTCTGACATGCCTCATTATCTGGGCAATCCAGGCAGTGTAGACAGTTTATATGGGGCATAAGGCTCCTTTTTATATCTTGGCAACATGGGTTCTGGGGCCTAGAAGACCCAAATACCGCATTTTGTCATGTGTAACGTGCACTTTTTGGCCCAAATTTGTGAGGGAAAAATAAGGATGCACATTATACATGGGTAGTACTAATTGCTTATCTATATGAACGTTTTTAATTCTTTTATGTATGCTTGAGTTAAAAGTGTAGCTCTAGAAATCAATAACGATATCGTAAGCAAAATAATATCCTGGAATACAATAATTGGTTTTGTTGAACTTACAAAGAACTTGCAACAACAAAGAGTTCTTGGCCTTCTATAATGCATAAATATCTTAAATTTTTTTTACTGGTACATAAAATTTCTTGTACCTTGTATCTGTTCTTGTGTTTTGTAATTATTGGTTACGTAAAATTTTCTTATACCATAATATGTTAAAAAAATAAGTGCTAAAACTCCTTTATAATACGAAAAAACAAGTATCTATATGTAAACAAATAAAAATTTGAATTAAAAAAATTGAAACAATTCCCTGAACATTTGGGCCAAAAACGTGGGTGTGCATTACACATGGCAAAATATGGTAATTGACCTGGTTATTGGGCAAAACCATAGAGCAGACTCAGTCCGAAGTCCACCACTAGAATGGAAAATGGTGCGGCCACTTTGGAAAACAGTTTGTCAGTTCCTCAAAAAGTTAAATATAGAGTGACAATATGAACCAGGAATTCCACTCCTAGGTATATACCCCAAAAAACTGAAAACACACGTCACCATAGAAACTTGTATGTGAATGTTCATAGCAGCATTATTCATAATTAGCCATAAGCAGAAACATCCCATGTCCACCAACTGATGAATGAACAAATGAAATGGGGTCTATCCATGTGAGGTAGTACTGATACATGCTGCAACATAGCGACCCTTGAAAATATTCTGCTGAGTGAAAGAAGCCAGATACAATAGGCCACAGATTGCAGGATTCCATTTATATGAAATGTCTGGAACAAGCAAATCCATAGAGATGAAAAGCAGGTTAGTGGTTTCCAGGAGATGGGGGTGGGGTGGGGCGATGAGGAGTAGGTGCAAATAGGTACCTGGTTTCTTTTTGGGGTGATGAACATGTTCTGGGATTAGATAGCAGTGATGGTGGTAGAACTTTGTGAATGTACTGAACCCCCCCCCAAACTGCATGTCCTTGACATGGTGAATTGTATGGTTATGTGAATTACATCTCATTAATAATAATAATAAAGTCCACTACTGCCCTCCGAGTCAAGGTCCCTGGAAGCCCTGCCTCACCTGAGAAACTCCCCAGCATGGTCACCGTGTTGTCTGCACCATCAAACACTTCCAGGGAGTCCCAGTTCTGCTCTGTGACAAAACTGATGACTTGAATCTGGAAAGGCAGAAGGGTTGAATTGTTGGTTAGACGGCCTGAGCAACTCCCTCCCTCTTTCAGGTAATTAATTCAATTGTTGGGCAACTACTCTGGGCCTGACACTGTGTTCAGTCCTTCCAATAAAAGTAAGATGCAGTCTCTACCCCCGAGGAGCTCTTTGTCCAATGGGGGAGACAGATGTGAAATGAATGATTATAAGGACACGAATGGGGAAAGGAAATTCCAGGAAGTGGGAATACTTCAGTCTGACTGGTCTTCTCTGTGTCTCTCGAACATTCCTTGGGTTTCCCCACTTTCCTGTCTGGGTTGCATCAGGCATCCTGCCTCAAGGACCCAGTAAGCCACTCCTGGCTGGACCTGTCCACCTCGAGCTCCTGCTTGCTGCCTGTCTGTTGGCCTCTTCCATGCCACCACACCAGTTCTGGGGCCTCCTGCACTTGGCTCTGACCACTGGCACCTGTTCTGCTCCTATGATTCAGGCTGCAGGTGTCACTCCCTGGGGTATGTGTCTGGTATTTCTCCATGCTTTGTGCTTGTCGATTTGCTCCTTCTGCTTACCTGCAATGTCCCCTTTTTTATCCCTCACAATATATATTTTTTTTAAGCTGAGCCATCCTGCCACCTGTTGGCAGCTCAGCGGCAGCTCAGCTTGGGCTGTGAATTGAACCGGCGACCCTGTTGCTCAGAGCTTGCACTCTTGAGCGAGCTCTTAACCAACTGAGCCACTCGGCCGGCCCTTATCCCCCACAATCTTAAGAAAAAAACTCCTTCAAGCTATTTGAAAAATGTCCTATGAATCCTCCCCAGTTTTGTATTCAGCTCTAGGCCCACTGCCTTCCTCTGGCCTTCCCGGGTGGCCCCAGCCAGTGCCCACCCTTCCTTCTTCCTGAGCTACCTGGCCCTCCCCTCCTGCCCCCTGAAGCTCCAGGGCCACAGGTTGTTGTGTTTTTATGTTTGTGGGGCTCACCTTTACACTTGGCCTGAAGGGTAGGGACAGGGCTATGTCTCCTCCCGACCACCTGCCCGACTGTGGTGTCACCTCTCCCCTACCTGGATGCCGGCGCCTTCAGGGACCATGATCTTCCACACGCAGTTGAGGCTGTTGAGGTAGGGCTCCGGGAAGCCAGGGGACAGGATGGTGCCCCTGCGCTCCGTGAGGTTGCCGCCACAAGGCACTGGGAGGGGGCAACTCTGGTCAGAGGCGCTTCCTGCTTGTCTTCATGGGTCCCCCATGGGAACCTCCCCCAACGGACTCTTGTCAGGTCTCCCCAGCCTGCTGGACTCCTCCCCCTGCTGGCTTCTGCAGTGGGGCCCCAGTCCCACCTTTTCCCGTGACTCCTTTTCATTCAGCCCTCCTCAGGGGCCTGGACCCACACTCTTCCCTTCACATGTGTCCGCCCCTCTCCGTCCCCACCCAGCCCCTCCCCCTTGCTGCCTTCACATCCAACCCACAGGACTAGTGATTTAGCAGGCATGGGGCACCCTCTTTCAATTATGCTGGCGGGCAGGGGCTGCTGTGTGTCTTGGGGCAGCTGCTTCCCCCATGGAGAAAGGACTGTTTTCTGGGCACCCCCTCCCCAAGTCCTAGTTGTCCAGGTACGTACCCACACATGTTGGTGCTGAGATATTCCACTGGGCCAAGGCCCCAGGAACAGGGAGGCACTCTATTTCTGGGGACCCCTGCAGAGCATAGCCGGAGTTGCATTCAAATCGGACGATGGCCCCCACAGAGAAGTCACTTCCCAGCCTCTTTCCATAGCGGGGTTCCGGCACAGAGCTGCACTGCGTGGCGCTGGTTCGGGGCACCGCTGCAGGGGACAAGGGCACACGCTGCAGCGGACAAGGGCACCGAGGGGCAGGCCTCTACCCTCTAGAAACTGGACCGGGGATGAACACACATGGACTGGGACTGAGACAGTGTGGATGGGACCCTGAGAGGCTCTGGGCACTTTCCTTTAGGGCAGGCGTAGGGGGGTTTTTAGGATGATGCCTGTATTATTGAAATATAGCTGGACACACAATGTTGCAGCACAGCTTCTGGAAACCACGGGAGGCAGTGTGAGCCCTGGGCCTGGACTTCAGGCCCAAGTGTGTTCTTTGCCTTCCCAGCGGTGCCCCTCACCCATCAGGGTCCCACGTCCCCGAACAGAGAGAATGGCCCTTCCTCTTCCACTGCAGGGCCTTCACCATTTTTGGCCTCTTCTCCCATGTGCCTTGAACCCTGTTCAGGGCCCTGCCGCCCCTCACCTGAATCTCCTCTAACCCTCCCCAAAATGTTAAATAGGACCCTAACCCAGGCCCCAGACACCGCATCCCCTGTAACAGGATTACCCCAGTACAGGGAAATGCAACTTGCTCTGGGCAATCGAATGAACAAAACCACACTTAGAACGGGCACTGGAAAAAAGGACATTCTCCTAGGTAAGGAGAGGTTAGGGCTTGCAGGTAAAAGCCAGGATGCTTCCTTTAAGACTTTGCCTTTCAGGGCTATTAAGGAAGGGAATGGACTCTGGTGATCTGCTTGGTGCCAGCTACTCTGTGAATTATCTTTTAATCCCATCAGTGAGGTAATATTATGACTTTCATTTTCTAGTTGAGCAAACCGGGGCTATGAGAGGTGGGCTAACTAGTGCCCAGTTAGAAAGTGGCAGAACTGAGATTCAAATCCATGTTCATCTTACTTCTAAGCCTGTGTTTCTCCCACACCTTACCGGGCCTGGTAGACAAAACCAAGCTCCTTGGGAGAGAGTCCAGGTGAAAGGCCTGGGCTGGTCTTCCCAATGTCATCCCAGCTGTACCAGACAATGGGGGGAGGGGATTAGCTTCCTATGTCTGATTTCTCCACTCATTCAATATGAAGTTTGGTCCAAGAATTGTCTGTTGAGTAAATGAATGTATAAAATTCAACTGAATTTCAAGGAACTGTCCCACAAACTAGTAGCTGCCCGAAACATCCTAAGAATGGGGCTCAGACCAGGAGGCGAAGGTCGCTGTTCCTTCAGTCACTGAGTCACTGAAGAACAGAGACTGTGTTCGTCCCTCCCATGTCCACGTCCTACATACCTTGGTAGACAAAGTGGAAGCCTCTGGCTGGTACTTGGCCTTTGGCACTGAACTTAATGAGAACTTGATTGGAAGTGGCCAAGGGTAATGATTCTCCTGCCGAGATAAGGGGAGAGGAGGAGAGGAAGACAGTGAGTCCAGCAGCCTGGCCCAGCGGGTAAAATGCTGGCCAGGAAGGAGGGGCTGCCCAGACCCCTCACAGCAATTCCTTCCACATCCTAGGTCTTCCTGAAATGAGACCTCACATTTTTACTGCACTTTTCAGTTTAAAGTTTGCAAAAGGCGTTCACATCTATGGACTTATCTTGATCCATGCTCAATGGGGGAGGTCGGGATGACAAGAGTTCAGTACCCCCAGTTAAGAGATCAAGAAAGAGAGGTTCAGAATGATTAAATGATCTGCCGCAAGAGGAGAAAGCTTCTAAAGGTATACTGACCCACAGGGATGGGGATAACGGCCATCACCAAACTGACTCGGTTTGCTAGGAAAACGGTCATCAATCGCATCAGCTTCTGGGAAGGAGGGTGCTGTGATCTTTTGAGAGTAACCAGCCTTTTCCAGATTCTCTGTGAAATGATCAATAACTGGAGCAATCATATAATGTATTGCTCATACTAGGACACTTTTGAGTAAAAAGCCGTGCTATCAATAATTATGCTGGGAGAACCAAGTGAAAGGTAGGATCCTCCCAGGCAAAGCAGGGCATATTGTCACCCAACCAATAACACAGAAATTGGTGAAAACCTGTATGGGCAGAAAGCTAGGTGAGCCCGACAGACTTTATAGAGAAGATAAAGGTATATCTTCTGCTTGATGTGGCATCGACAGATGGGAATAAAGACAGCACCATCTGGACCTACAACTGTGAAGTGTAGTCCTGCTCCAGTGGCATGGCCACTCTGCATGATGCTTCTCTGAAGCCTTAGGCATCCATGAGAACGGCGGCTGACTCTACCATCAGAAGGGAAGTAGGGGTTACAGGAAGCCAGCCTACCTCTCTACTGTAGTGTGGGCTGGAGCTGGAACCAGCCAAGGAGCCATTGGGAGTCACATCGGGGGCCCACCAGTGCTTCCAGAAAGCCCATGTGATGCTATGGGCCATGGGGGGTGGAGAGACTTTTGAACAGCATACTTAAATTTACACATGACCCAGATGGCTGAGGCTGCCTAGGAGTCATTGTCCTAGCTAACGCCTGGCTGCCAAAGCAAAAAGAAACTCATGAAGACAAAGAGTCTCTTCCTTATCACTGCCATTTCTACCTCCTCCTCTCAATGGATGTGAGCAGAAGAAAACTCTACTTTTCCATCCTCCCATCATCTGGCCTGACATGTGGATTAGGGCTCCAGTAATCTCTCACAGAACCCTTTTTGACTTCCAGCCCTGGACATACGCAGGCCTCCCTCTCCATGGCTTAGTGTATAGTAAAATCACTCACTGGACATAATAAAAGATTCCAAAGTTTTAAGGGAGGAAACCATTGAGTAATCAAAGCAAATATTTTTTGTGAACTACGACAAAGAACAGGCCAGGTCTCAGAAGACTGTCTATCATAACTGTCACAAGATTAAATCTATCATTGCACCTGTGAAATCAGAGGAGGAAGACAAGCCAAAGGAAAGATCTGAGATTATAATAAAGGCTTCAAAGAGATGAGAAATGCTAGTACACAACAGCTGGATTGTGCAGAAATTGGACAGCAACATGCAGATTAAATTTGGGAAATTCTTCTAGAATCCACAGAAAAAGGATAAAGAGATTAAAATAGTGAGGGAAATGACAAGCGACATGGAAGATAGATGGGAAAAAAATCCAATATGCATATATCAAGAATTCTAGAGAGAGAGAAGACAAGAGAAATTGGAGAAAAAACGATTTAAGAAAGAAGATAATTTTCCTAAGCTTAAGAAAGACTTGAGGTTCAGACTGAAATTGTTCATAAAGTCCCACATCTAATTAATGAAAAGAGATTTCCACCACAACACATCCTAGTGGGCTTTTCAATTTAAAAAATTAAAGGGCACTTAGAAAGAAAAGCATAGGTTACCTACAAAATAAAGAATCATATTGGACTCCAACTCATCTGAAATATTAGATGTTGGAATAGAGTGGAATAACTGCTGTGGTTTTGAAAGAAAAAGTTTGTGACCCATAATTTGATTTACAATCAAGTTGTCATTTATATGACATGCCAAAGGAAATGCATTCTCATACATGCAAGGTGAAAAAAAATACTGCAGTTATGAGCCCTACTTAAAGAACTGAATGAAAGCAGGGAAATAAAATACTATCAGGGATAAACACAACCTGGAAAATACAGTTAAACCCAAATAATTATTGTGAATAGGTAACAAATCTAAAAGCAAACATAAGAACTTTTTCTTGGGAAAAGGGTCCTCCTAATTTAAAAAGACTTACTAACGATGTTGACATAAAAGGCCAAATAGATTAAAAAAAAATTGGAAATCAGAGATGGGTCAGGTATGACTGGAAGACTGAGGAGGCAAAAATCAAAACAAAACAAACAAAACCCAGAAAGAACAAAACAAGATGACAGATAGCAGACCAGATGTTTTACTTGTAAAATAAATAAGTAAACTTCCTCTTAAAAGGAAAACATATGTTAGGCAAACACAGATACAAAAATTGTTAGAAACACAAGAAGATAAAATATCACAATTGTAGTGGGAGATACTTTCACATTACATCCTCAACCACTGATATATAATATAGAAAAACAAAATGAAGATTGTTGATTAGTGGTCCTCAAGCTCTTTTATTCTTTCCCATCACAACTTAGGGACAGAGATACACTTCACTCCCATCAGTACTGGTGACTTATCATCAGGGTTTCTCCAACTGAGGAATAAGATATGATCTGAGTATATTGATGTTGATATCTATAGAGCCTCTATCTATCTATCATCTATCTATCTATCTATCTATCATCTATCTATCTATCTATCATCTATCTATCTATCATCTATCTATCTCTATCCCTATTCCTTTTTTTATATTTTATTTTAAAATAATTTTTTATTTTTCAATTACAGTTAACATACAATATTATATTAGTTTCAGGTGTACAACATAGTGACTAGATATTCATGTAACTTATGAAGTGATCACCCTGATAAATCTAGTTAGTAACCACCTGACACCATGTATAGCTATTACTATATTCCCTATGGTATATAATACATCCCGATGACTATTTTGTTAACTACCAATTTGTACTGCTTAATCCTTTCCCCCTTTTCACCCCCATACCTCCCATCTGGCAGCCATCAAAATGCTCTCTGTAGCTGTAAGTTTGTTTCTGTTTTGTTTGTACATTTGCTTTTTAGATTCCACATATAAGTGAAATCACATGGTAATTGCCTTTCTCTGTCTGACTTATTTCAATTAGAATAATACCCTCTAGGTCCATCCATGTTGTTACAGATGGCAAGATTTCATTATTTTTTATGACCGAATAATATTCCATTGTATATACAAGTATGTACCACTTCTTCTTTACCCATTCATCTATTGATGGGCACTTAGATTGCTTCCATATTGTGGCCATTGTAAACAATGCTGCAATGAACATATGGATGCATATATCTTTTCGAATTAGTGTTTTGGATTTCTTCGGATAAATACCCAGAAGTGCAATTACTTCGTCTTTCTTTGCCTCTTTATAGCCTTTGCTTTAAAGTCTTTTTTATCTGGTATAAGTATTGCTACTCCAGCTTTTCTTTTCTTTTCTTTTTTTCATTTTCATGAAATATTTTTCCATCTCTTTACTTTCAGTCTGTGTGTGTCTTTCAATCTGAAGTGAGTCTCATAGGCAGCATATGTAAGGGCCTTGTTTTCTTATCTATTCAACCACCCTATGTCTTTTGGTTGGAGGATTTAATCTATTTATATTTAAAATAATTGTTGATAGAGGTGTAGTTATTGCCATTTTATTATTCACATTTTTAATCTTTTCTTCATCTTCTTAAAGAAGTCCCTCTAACATTTCTTATAATACTGGTTTGGGGGAGATGAACTCCTTTAGGTTTTTCTTGTCAGGGAAGCTCTTTATCTGTCCTTTGATTTTAAATAATTTTGCTGGTGATTTTAAATAACTTTGCGGGTAGAGTAATCTTGGTTGTAGGTCCTTAATTTTCATCACTTTGAATATTTCCTGTCAATCCCTTCTGACCTGCAAAGTTTCTGTTGAGAAATCAGCTGACAGTCTTATGGGAACTGCCTTGTAGGTCACCAACTGCTTTTCTCTTGCTTTTAAGATTCTCTGTTTGTTTTTAAACTTTCGCATTTTAATTATGATGTGTCTTGATGTGGGCCTCTTTGAGTTCATCTTGTTTGGACTCTGTACTTCCTGGGCTTATAAGTCTATTTCCTTTGCCATGTTAAGGAAGTTTTCTATCATTATTTCTTCAAATAGGTTTTCAATTCCTTGCTGTCTCTCTTCTCCTTCTGGTACTCCTAATGAATGTTGGTACACTTGATGTTGTCCCAGAGGTCCCTTAAACTCTATTTATTTTTTAGGATTATTTTCTTTTTGCTGTTGTGATTGGGTATTTTCTGCTACCTTACCTTCTAAATTGCTGATTCAAAGAAAAAAATAAATTGCTGATTTGACCCTCTGGTTCATCTAATCTATTGTTGATTCCATCTAATGTATTCTTCATTTCAGTTATTGTATTCTTTACTTCTGATTGGTTCTTTTTTATGTTTTCTATCTCCATTTTTATGTTTCTTATCCCTTTGTTGAAGTTCTCACTGAGATCATTGAGCATCTTTGTAACCAGTGATCTGAAGCTGGCCACTGGGTGTGTTGGTTATGGGGCCCCTTGGGAGGGGCTCTGATGTAGGCTAAGGTCAGCTACTTCCTATGCCTTGCCTGTGGCCACTTGGTATGAGCTACAAAGTGATCTGCAAATGGTTGCCACTTGTGGTGGGATTGGAGGTGCCTGGCAGAGACTAAGTTGTGAACTGAGATTGGCTGCTGCTAGTGCTGGGCTTGGGGCTGCTTAGCAAGGGTATGGGGCACACCAATGCCAGATGCTGCTTGTTTGGGGTTTGTAATCCTTTGATAGATTTGAGGAAAGTCTGCAGCATGAGCCAAGACAGGCCATTTGTATGGAAAAGCCACCAGAAGCAGCTTGGGTAGGCCCCCAGCTTGGATGGGATGAGGTCTCATGGAATCACCAGGGTAGGGTGAATGGTGTTAGCTAGGTTGATGGTGACTCAGGTATGGCACCTGCCTGCGTGTGCAGGTTGGATGGGGGGTAGGGCTAAACAAAGGAACAATGGCTTCTGCCAGCACTTTTGTCTGGGAGAAAACTGCCCATCCAGCCCTCACTCTGAAGCCAGACAATTCAGTTCCGCCCTGTATGTTCTTGGTGGACATACTGCCCCAGCACTGGAGCTCAGAGTGAGTGAGTCCTTCTGTGAGTAAGTCCGTGTGTGGGCCTTTTAAGAAGAACTCCTGGGACTCCAGCAAACTTCTGTCTCACTCAGCCACAATCTCTGCTGGTTTTCACCACCAGATGCTATGAAAACTTCTTGGCACTGAAACCCTGTGCTGATGAAACTGGTGTGGTTCTGGGACCCCTTGCTCCTCAGAGGGAACCTCTGCAGCTGAGATATCCCTCCTGATTTTCAACTGCCACACGTGAGTATGGGACCAGTCTGTTCCGTATCTCTGCACCTCCTACCAGTCTTGACGTGACTTCTGTATGTCAGTTATAAACCTTCTGTTAAGCTAGACTTTAGGCAGTAGTCTAGTTTGTTTTGTAGTTTAGTTGTAATTTTTATGTGGTCATGGGAGGAGGTGTGCACAGCATTTACCTACTCTGCCATCTTGTCTGGAAGTCCTATTTCTTTCTATTTCTATTGGTCCTATCCATCTATACCTATACCTATATCTATATCCATATTTACATCTATAGGTCCTAAATGTATACCTGTTTATTTCTCTCTACCTCTACATCTATATGTATACCTGTACCTCTATCTATCTCTCTATCTATCTAAGATATTTTGAAAAAACATCCTACCCCAAGAGATCCGGACTTAAGCTCCCAGTTGGGTGTATGTGTGGGGTTGTGGTGCAGAAGAATCATTTCATTGAGAACCACTGACGTAACAGATTTGAATAACAAAATTGAGTAAGACTGATCTAATGGCTATTACAAAGTTCATGTAATCTTAACGATAACTCTAGGGGGTAGAACTTTTACTATCTGAATTTTACAGATGAGGAAACTGAAGCTCTGAGTGGGCATGCTGTGATTGCAAACACTTAGCAAACAAGTGGAAAAGCTTAGGTTAGATGCCAGGCAGCGAGACTGCAGGTCCTGCACAGCCCCTTCTCTCTACGTGGCTTCTTGACCCTATAGAGAACCCATATTCTTTTCAGATACTTAGGGAATTAAAAAAAAAATCTTTGGCTACTGAGAGGACTTCATTTAATCCCCAAAATAGAATGGCTCAGACTACATTCTCTAACCACATGGCAATAAGAATAGAAATAAACGCACTGTAACAAGAACAAAATCCAGGTTCTGAGGGGAAAAGAAGAGACATTCTTAAACAACTCTTGGGGAAAAAAGAGTAAAACTCGATCACGGACTATTTAGAAAGTAATAATAAAAATAGTTCGTATCAAAATTTATGACTTGAAGCCAAATCTATGCATAGAGGTGAACCTATTGCTGTAAACATGCTCTTTATTACATAGAGATAATAACAAACAAAGCTCTCAATTTAAGACGTTAGAACAGGAAGAACAAAATAATCTGAAGAAAAAAGGGAAAGAGACATTATGAAATAAAGGCAGAGGTTAATTATAAAGTAACAAGCCCCACAGAAGAAGTGATAAGTATAAGCAAGAAAAAATAAAATAAAACAAAACAAACAACACAAAACCTCCTGTCCAGCTGAGTAAAAGGGGAAACTACGAATATAGCATTCAACAGTGTAAAGGCAGGGGATCTAACCACTAATAGAAAGGAGGTTAAATATCACCATAGTATGTTATATAAGCTGCGTTGCTAAATTTAAAATAATTACAATATGGGATTTTTACTAAATATAAATCGTCAGTAATGATAATAAAGTAATAGACCTTAACAGACCAATAAGCGTGGAAGAAAATACAAGAAAAACCACTGAAAAGGAAGAGATAAAATAATAAGACAGATTTATCTGCAGATGATATTGCTTCTTGCCTAAAGGACCCAGGAGAATCAGCTGGCAGTGTTAGCATTGTGATGGAGGGTTCAGTGACTTTGCAAAATGAATATACCAAAAATACCAGTCTTGTAATATACCGGCAAAGACCAGTTAGAAAATATAACACGGGGAGACCCATACAGTAGCAGCAAAAATTGCCATTAAATATCTAGGAATAAAGTTAACAAAGCATGCATACTGCCTAAATGAAAATTACAGCACCTTCTCAAAGGTTACAAATGACAAATAAATGGAGAGACACATCATGTTCCTGAATGGGAAAAAGAGTTACTATTATAAAGATGTGAGTCTCCCCTAGTTAATCTATAAGTTTAACTGATTCCAACGAAAATTCCAATGCAATTTTTTTTTAACTTGACAACATATTTCTAAAATTTATTTGGAAGCAAAAGTAAGCAAGAAAAGCCAATAAAAACTCAAAACAATGTCTATGGGGAATTCTTACTGCATGTTTAAAATTATTAAAGTATTAAACATTATTATAATGTTATAATAATTACAGCTTTTTGATACTGATACATAAATAAACAGACACAGGAAATGAATATAAAGTTTAGAAACATACCCTTAATTTAATAAAAATTTAAAGTATGTAAATCTGGCATTTTGAAAAGTCTGTTAGGATAACTGAATAACTAAATTTGAAAGACTATGGTTATATTCTCTATATCAAATAATAAACCAAACTAAATTCCAAAGTTATTAAAGCAAAACTCTGAAACTAAAAAGAAGTAAAAGAAAACAGAGAGGAATGCTTATTTCATCAATATAAAAGTAAAGGAGAAAACTATAAAAGAAAACATTGATAGATTTGACATCATGGGAAATTTAGGTTTTCTGACATTAAAATACACCCTGAAGAAAATTAAATGGCAAATGACAAACTATAGAGGAAATCTTTTTATAGCATATAACATAGACAAGAGATTTTTATAGCATATTATATATATCTTATAATAATATGGAGCTTTCCTAATAAATAAGAAAATAAATACTAACAGAAAAGTTAGTGTTGATTAATTGACAAGTAGATTCACAAATAAAAAAATGCATGGGCCATAATTACATTACAAAAAGATTAAACTAACTAATAATAAAAGCAAATTTAAAAATGAGATAACATCTTCACGTTTCAAATTGATAACACTTTTGTTTTTTTAATTACCTAATTTTTTGTGAGGATAAAATATACCCTCTTATTCATTGTTGGTGAACAAAATGGCAAGAACTTTCTATAGGCATATTTGACAATCTGTATAAAAAGAATGAAGGATCTCACATAGCCTTCAACTTGACAATTCTACTTCTAGATATTCTAAGGTAATACAGTTGTATGTGGTGACATATATAATACACTGAACTACTTATTCATAAGGGTGAAAATTAGAAACAATCTAAATGTTCAATAATAGAGAATTCATTACATAAATTTTAAATAACTATATGATAGACTATTTGCAGCATTTAAAAATCCTATTACAGAATAAAATAATGATAAAGAAATGCTCACAATATACATAAAAATATGTATATTGTTTTGTTCAATAAAATATGTGAAAGATTAAATCTAAGTAGATATAAAGAATGGAAGGAAACACACTCCATCTTTTCAGTGGTTGTTTCTGGGTGGCTTTTATTTTAATTCCCTCTGTAATTATTTTTTTCTTGCCTCTACAATGAAAATGCAATGTGTTTACATTGGGTTGACGGAAAAGTCGTGATGCATTTTTGCAACGAAAAACAGAAAAAATAGGTCATGACTTTTCCGACAACCCAATAATTAGAAAAACACACTGGGGCTAAATGTAAAACAGCAGGAAATGCTACGCCCCTTGGGGGTGGTGTAGATACAGCTTGGGGTGAGAGTAGTTTTTGAAGCCCCCTTCTAGGAATGGGTGACCAGGAGCTGACTGTGGGGTGGTAGAGACAACACCAGCGCATGAAACAGAGCTGTGGGGTTCCACTTGTAGCCATGCTTACAGGGCCTCTTTCCTGTTAGGTGGCCTGTGATACTCCCAGCCCACCACCATTCCCAATGCTGGCCGAGCCCTGGGTACCTGTGTGGGTGCCCGACAGGGAGCTGAGGAGACGGGAGAGCTGGCTGTGGCCATCGTGCACCTCCACCACGTCGTTGAGGGCTGTGTGGAAGAAGGCGAACTGTCCAAACACAACTGTGGAGGAGACATGGTGAGGAGACCTCAGTGTGGGAGATCGAACAGCCATGTTGGGGGCAAGGACTGGAGGTCTGGGGGCCCCAAGCCAGGATGAGGGAAACCTCAGAGGAAGCTGTTGGTTCATGGGGCTAACTGCTTGCTGAGCCTTTCTACTGACTCATTGGCACACTGGCCAGACACCAGACACGGGGACAAAGGGAGATGGAAATAGTCGCTGGCATTCTCCCACATAGGTCACGATAACATTGAGGACTGCACCCAGTGGTCAGGCTAGTGGTGGTAGCACGGAGCTAACCTTATTCCTTTTCCAGATAGCAGCTGGAAAAGGACATCAAAGGGCTTTGGGTAACTTCCCCCACTTTCCATGTGATCTCAGAATCTTCTATTACTTTTTCTTCGAAGATCCAGCCAACGAGGGCAGCCCGAGGATACAAACTTCCCCACAGCTAAGAATGAGGGTGGTGAGTAGCACCCTGAGGAAGGAGCAGCTGTGTAGGTAAAGATCTACCTCATTTCCTTCTGGCAAAGCTCAAAGGGAAGAGGCAAAATGACATTTATTAAGCACCTACTATGTGCCAGGTACCATGCTTGCCATGTACTTCATATTCTTTGACCATGACTCTTCCAGATTTTATTAACAAAGAAATGGAAGCTCAGGGGATAAGAGAGTTCCCCAAGGCCACTCAGCAAGCTCAAGGAAGGAAAAGCTGATGGGCCTGGTCTTGATGAGGCTCCTATCAGATAAGGCCTAAGGGCCCTGCCATTCGATGGCTTTTTAGGACACCAGCTATGAATCACAGGGGATTTTCTCAGCTGTCCCCTCTGGGCCAGTCATTGCTGGAGGAGCTGGGGTCACTGACACTGCTGGGCCATGGTGAACACAGTTCTAATTCAGCAATCTGCCGGACCCTGGTTCATCCTGCCTGTACTGGTCTACCAGTTGTCCAGGTGCATCTGTGGGCAAGAACCAGGGTAGACCTACTACTTTGGCTTAAACCCTGAGTGTGTAGGAAGTTGTGTGTGTGTGCGTGTGTGTGTGTGTGTGTGTGTGAGTGTGTGTGTGTGTGTGTTACGTGTTGGGGCAGGGAGGGATTCGGGGCAGGGAGGGATTCAGGCCAGGGAGTGACTGCCTGAAAAAAAAGTATTTGCAATGATGAGTCTAGTAGTGAATGGAGTATGACATTCTCAGATCTCAAGCCAAGGTCAGAGGGCAGGCACGTTTCGGGACCCTGAAAATGGGTACTGAGTTAGGGGTGGTGGCATGAGTATTTTTGTGCTCCCCCTTACAGAGGAGACAGGACAGCAAGGTTGCTGCTTTCACAGAGTGTGTATTCTCGTGAGAAAAAACAGTCGAAAACGAAAAAAAATAAAAACACTTAAGTATATAGATAAATTCAGATAGTGTTACGTTTCAGGTGTAATAGGAAAAAGCGATACGGTGAGGTAGGCCACTCTAAATAGGTGATCAAAGAAAGATCTGAGAAGAGGATGTCAGAGCTGAGACCTGGGCTGGGGGCAAGTATTCCAGACTCAGAGGAAAAATCTGCCCTTATCTCCCAGGCTCAGTATCGCTGGCAAAGAGAAGATGCCTGGGACAGATCACCACCCTTCCTAGAACCAGACGTCCATACACAGGTTTCAGCTCAGCAAAACTAACCAGCTTTGGGGTTGGCTGCTTGCAAAGGCATGAGCTGTTTGTTACTGGAGCAACTCAAGCACAAACTGCATGCCCACTTATCAAGGATTCTGCTCTGGGGGGCAGACTGGATTGGACAACCTTTCAGGACTTGAACGGTAATTCCGCAGGTCAAAAGCTCCTGCCACATCATGTTGGGGAGTGTGTACAATGCTCATGAGTGTGCAGGCAGGGGCTGGGGTAGGAGTGGCGCGATGGCTGTAGCTGTGGGGAAAGATGAGACTGGGAGCTTAGAGAGGGCACGCCTCTCTCATCTCTGCAGCTCCAGTGCCCAGCAGAGTGCATGGTCCCTACTAGATGCGTAATAAATGTTTGGGGAATGCCCTGTGCTCACTCCATCCTATCTACTGGGGATAAGCAGCCAGCTCTCTGTGGGCTGCCCTGTCCCTCTCCTAAGTGGTCAGGATATATCCTTGCCCTGTGCTCCATTTAACACCAACAGTGTTTAAAAATAGTTCTTACTGTCCTATGAAGAGGAGGCCCAGGGAGAAGGCAGCCAGCTGGTCACCTGATTACCCAGGACAACTGGCCTATGACCCTCAGGAAATTCCTGAATCTTCCAGAGCTGGCAGGACGCTTGATTGTCCCCACTGCCAGCCAGGTGATAAGCCTGGCTTCTTTTGACCTTGGATTCCTGGAATCTGGAGGTTTCACTGTCTTCTCAGGGCATGGGCCTGCTCCTCGCCTTTTTCTGGCTCATCCTACTTACAGCTGCAGGACCAGGCTCCTGGTCTCAGATGGAATAGTGAATGATGTGGCTTCCGGCTCCCTCACCTGTGCTGCAAGCCTGGCTCCATCCCACTCCTAACTTCTTCCTGCCCTTAGTCAACCACCCCTGGATCTACGGACCTCTGTTCAGTCTTGAGCTGTACTGGGTAGCCCAGTGCCTCCTGCCTTTCCTCACTGGCTAGTTCATCACTAACCCCATCCCTTGGTTCTGGCCAACTCGCACCCTTCCTCCCTCATGTGTCAGGAGTGTATTCTATAGCCTACTGCGTGGCATCTGTACTCAGCTGTCCTGTATGTGAGACTATTCTGCCCATTCCCACCATGAGAGTGGATGTAATTGGGAGTGGAATTGGGATACAATTGGGGAGGGCCTGAGGAGTTGGAAGGAGTCAGAAAACAAATAAACAAACACACAAAAGAACCCATACCATAATCCTTGGGCACGGTGACAAAATACAGGCAGATCTGCCCACTGGTGTAGTTCTGGGGGTAGTTGGGAGACAAGACCACTCCATCTGAACCCACATATTGTCCCCCACAGGGGGCTGAAAGAGAAATCAGATAGAGGTAACCATGTGAGCCTCTCCTGAGCTGTCCATCCTCCATTCTTCTCACTCCCAGCCTGAGCTTCCGGCCCTGGTGGGGCTGCCATGAGGTGCACAGCCATGGACATGGAGGATGTGGAGGAGCCGCGTTCTGAGGACACTGCCCTGCCCTGCCAGAGGACATCCATCCCTGGCATGGCGTGTGGCCTGAAACTCACCCTCATGCTAGTAAGGACCCTCCTGGGCACAGTCCCTGCCTTCTAACTATTACCACTGGCATTGGTCCCCAGAGGCGCAGCCTTGAGGAGCAATTTAGGAACCGCGTCTGCTTCTAAGTAGAATCAGAACTGATCTGCTGCCCCCTGGCTGATGTCGGCACCCAGGTAGTTAGTGTCTGCATAGACCCTGAGTAGAGAGCCGAGGCTTCCCCAGGCTAGCCCCGTGGGGAGAGGCCAGCCCATGCAACCCAGCCACCTTCCGTTCCCATCCACGGTGCCCAATTCCCTGCGGGGTGGACTTCAGAGCCAGCCTCTTTCACCTCGGCAAAGGGGCCTCCTTGCTTTTCAACTGAGGTGGCCACCACGTTCTTAAAGTTCTGACACTCCACCCTATCCACTTGTCAGGATTCCATGGCTAACCCGGGTCCCCCGGATTCAGCCCACCCATTAGCCTTAGTTTCACACAGCTGGCCTCTCAGGAATTTTCCCTAGGCCCAGGAACAAGCCGGTTCACCTTTAACTCCCTTCTCCCTGGTATGAGCTGCTGGCATGTCTCGGGGCCACCGCTGAGAATATCTATCTAAGTGTGGGTGGGGACACCATGCGATCTGAGAGAGGTGACATATTGGCAGGGACTGTTGCACCTGGTGAATTATCAGCCATTCTCATTCACAGGGAACCCAAGGAGCTCCTGCGTTGAGGACCATGTTCGAGCTCCTGCTTTGAGGACCATGTTCCACCTCCCCGTACCCCTAACCCACAGACCCTTCTGCCTCTGGCATACCCTCCCTCCCTCGCTACCCCCGCCTCCACCACCTGTGCACACTGGCCGAGGATTGTTCCACACGGGCTTCCCATCGGGCCCCAGGATGCAGCTCAGGGTCGAGGAGCCCTCAACCTCATAGCCCCCATGGCAGTAGTAGGTGATGGAGGAGCCCAGCTTTAGGTCAGACCCCACTCGTGTGCCGTTCTTGATCGAACCAGGATCGAAACACGACTCTCGTGGGTTTTCTAGAAGAAAAACAAACACATGCACACACAAACAGGACTCATTAGTGGCCTAATTCCATGATGCAGCACCCATAAGGAGACCCTGACTCTAGCCACAGAGCACATGGGAATATGAGATGGCTGGTCCTGTTCCTTTCGGGTCTGGAAACTTCTCTAAATTTGGTTAGAAATCTAGGGCTAAAAATCTCCTTGGAGAGTGAAGGTTCTCCTCCTCTCCCCCCATTCTTGCCTTGACCCACAAAGGAGGGAGCTGCAGCTAAACCTTTGAGGCCCTTTCTCATCCTTTGACTCAGGCTCCCAGGGGAGGCACGTGCTGCTGCTCTGACTGGTGGGAGCTGATGGTTTCGGACGGTATCTTAGTTGTGGACATAACCACTGCAGTGAAGGTCAGTGCTGAGGCACAGCGCACCCCTTTGCTCATCTCCGATCACCCACACTCAGCATGGCAGGCCTCCTCAGCTTCCTATCTTCCTGTGGGAAGTAGGGCCGGCTTTTGAAGACTGCTTTCTTTTCTTCTCTTTCTTTTGCCTACCACTGTGCTGCTGGCATTGGCTTTGCAGGCTGTCACATCCATACCTTGCAGGCACTTCTGAGTGCCTGGGTACCAATATGTAGATTTAGGAAGAAAGTAGGAAACCCCACTTCAATCTCTGTGATAAGTCCAGGTCTCCAATGCAGTTTTTCAGGGTTGTGCATTGGGGTATTGGGTGCTTGCTAGTTCATCAAAACAGCATTTTTTTTTCATCTGGCTATTGTGTTTATGTCTTTCCAGTGGGCATACCATGGATGTGTCTAACAGGTATCCGCTCTGTCCCTCTGCACTGGACAAGAGTGAACTTGATGCTGCCTAAGCAAGTGAGAGGACTAGTCAGGGACTCGAATCCCTGGAGAAAGGCACGGTACAGAGTCCCTCCCTATCAGTTGGAAATCCTGAGCAGCTCTTTGGAGCCAACATCTACTTCCATCCACTGTTGCCTTTCCTCATCCTCCTTGTTTCAGGACCAGTGATGGTCAGGAGGCCTGTGCTCAGGGCTGGGCAGTGTCAGGACACAGCTGAGGCTGGTCAGTATCAGGGAAAAGGAATGGAGTGTCAGGTTTCCATCAGAGTCTTGGAGCCTACACTACAGAGAGGTCTAGAGATGGAGGCACACAAAGAGGGGACAACCCTTGCAGAATGACTCAGAAATTCACAGAGCAGATTTAAGGAGGAAAGAACCAGAATAGAAGGGATCAGAGTTCAGAGATGAATGACTCAGGAGGAAATTTGCTGATGGCTGTCATGGTCCCCTGGGTGCCTTTTAAGCTACCTATACAAAAGGCAGCCATGGTTTCAGAATGTCGTTCAGCTGCCAATCAGCCCAGTGACTGATGGGATGGGGCTCTGAGAGTCTATGATCCTGCTGAGTCTATTCACTCTTTCATTGGAGCCTATATGTGGGCCCTGATCTTTGTCTGTGCTCATATCAAGGGGTGGAACAGTCCCAGATATACCACTAAATTTAAACTCAAGTGGTACCCAGAAGATGACCCCTCATCTAGTAGAGGACTCCTCAGTGGTTTCCTTGTGTGCCCTGTGATGTGCCCTTGACCCCCACATCAAATCTGGTCTTCCCCCTAAACTTAGTATCACAGAGATACAGGGAACTGTCATTAGGTCTTGCATTTCATCTGTCCTCTTTAGAAATTCAAAGTGGGTCACATCTTACTGGAAGTTCAGATAAATTAAGTAACTTGGAACCAAATTCACGTAGCTCATTAGAGGCAAAACCAGCTGTGCACCCAATATCCATTTCCCCCCTTCATCCTTAAATAATAAAACCCAGATTTCATGCAGAGTATCAAGGCACCAGCTAAAACCGACTCTTCCAGCCTCCTGGACAGCTAGATCTGGCCAAAGAGATGTAAACACAACAGGTCAGATACCAGCCTACTGTCTCGCTAAGCGTAAAAGCCAAATCTTTATCTGCCTACAAGACCCTTCAATCTCCAATTGATTTATTCTGCCTCCAATCCTCTCCTCTGTGACCTCAACTCCTATTGTTCCTTTGCTAACTTTGCTCCAAACATACTGGTCTCTGTGCCCAGAGCATCCCCCATCTGCACGGTTCCTTCTCTCACTTCTCTGAGGACTTAACTCAGTGTCTCTTTCTCAGTGACACTTCCCTGACCAGCTATTTAAAATTCAATATTCCTCTTCCCAACACTCCCCATCACCCTTCTCTGCTTTTTTTCTCTGCCATGGGGTCAATGCTATCTCATGTGTTATATATTTACCTTATTTTTTTCTATCTCTCTCTACTAGAACATTGGTAGGTTCTACAAGGACATTTTTCCAGTTTTGTTCACTGCTCTAGTCCAGGGACTGGCACCTGGTAGGCACTCAATAAATATTTCTTAAATGGATAATTGTGGGATTTCTAGAAAGACTGCTTAAGGGAAGGTGACTCAGCGGAGAGAATGCTCTTTGGCCCTTCTTTCCTTCCTTCCTTCCTTCTTCTCGCAGTCTGGAACTCACACATCATGGCTGCAACTCTAGTCGCCATCTTGGATCTGAGACAACCCTGAGGGTGGGAGCCACATTCTAACGGGGTAGAACAGAAAGAACAAAAAGAGCCTAGGTGGAGCCAACTCATCAGCCATGGATGATGGTCTCCAGATTTCTTTTATAGGAAGGAGAACAAATCTCTACCTCATATAAGCAACTGTGCTTTTAGGTAGCTGCTGTGTTGGCATTGGACCCAGCTGGGTATGACTACCCCAGAACTATAGCCATGTCAGAAAGTCCTTTCCTCCCTTCTCTGTCTGGCAAATTTCTATAATTTTCAATGCCACTCTCTCTTGGGCAAGTTTCCTGAATTTCACCTTCTTTGTTTTTTTTTTTTAAAGATTTTATTGGGGAATTGGGGGGAGGGGAACAGCATTGGGGACTCGGGGAAGGGGAACAGACAGGTAGACAAATTGCTGTTTGTTTGTTCTTCAGTCTAGTTGTGGAGGACGTTGCTTCACTGGCCCATGTTGGTATGATCATTGTGCTCTTCCTGGGTGAGGCAATTGGTGGCCCGTCATTGGTCGGCCGCTCACAGCGGCTCCTGGCAGCTCACACCAGCTGCCGGCCACTCACGTAGCTCACGGCAGCCCACTGCAGCCCCGCTGCAGCCTACGCCGTCTCCGGCGACTCACAGCAGCCCAGCTCCAGGTCGAGCTGTTGTTCATTATCTTAGCTGTAGAGGGCAGTGTCACTGGACCTCAATGTGGGATCTGAACCGCAGCTCTGCTGCTCAGAGCTGGCACTCCCAAGCGAGCTCTTAATCAGCTGAGCCACTCGGCCGGCCCGAATTTCACCTTCTTTGGCAAAATTCTGTTTTTCTTTTCTTGTTTATAGCATGCACGACATAACCTTGGTAGTGTAGGTAAGTGTATTTCTTCCCAGTGAGTTCTGAACTCCTCGAGGACAGAGACCATCACCTGCTCTTCTCATAATCCAGGCAACTAGCATAGAAATTGGCACTAGGGCTGGCTCTATTTGGCATATAATCGAGCATAATAAATGGATGCTGACCTGATTGGCCGAACACCTCAGGGCTTGAAAAACCAACAACCACATCAATAATTTCAATTACACACTTCATTCTATAGTTACATGTCACAGCAAGAAAAGCTCACCATTCCAACATTATCGCATTGATAATGATTATGATAATGATAATGATGATAGCCTCTTACATAGGAATATCACTTTATAATTTTCAAAGCACTTTCCAATCTGTTATCTCATTTGCGTATCACAATGGCCTCTGGAGCAGGCAGGGCCAGGTATGTTCCTGTTCAGGTTATCAATGAGGAGCGTGGTGATCAGAGAGGCTAAATAAGTTTTCCAAGCCATTCAACTATTAAGAGGTAGAATTAAGACCAAAATTAGGTCTTCCGCCTGCCAAACCAGAACTCAGCTGTGAAGGATAATACTAAATGACTAAAACATCATGATGATACTAATAAATTAAACCCAAGCCCTCCAAAATGGAAAAATGAAAAGAACCAGCTCCTTTTAGTCTAATAGATGAGGACCATTTCCAAACACTGTAACAGCAAAAAACTGAAAACAACAGCCCAAACACTCAGCCAGTAAAGAACTGGTTAAAAAGGTTGAATTAGAGCCATCCACTGAAATATAAGCCTTTAAAAAGAATAGTGGAAGTATTTGAATACCGATATGAAAAGATGTCCAAGATCTATATTATTGTTGAGCAAAAAACCAAACAAAGCAAAAAAAAAAAAAAAACCACCAAAAACCAAAACACACCCATATTACAGGTTAGTACAAATGTTGTGATCTCTTTCATATAGAACAGGGATCAGCAAACTACAGTTCACAGGCTTGTGGCCTGCTTTTGTAAATAAAGTTTTATTAGCACACAGACACACCCATTTGTTTATATACTGTCTACAACTGTTTTAGCATTACAAGATCAGAGTTGAACAGATGCAACAGAGGCCATCTGGCCTGCTAAGCCTAAAATATTTACTATCTGGCCTTTTACAGGAAAAGTTTGCCAACCCCTGGTCTGGAATTTACTTTATATTCATATAAAATATCTGGAATGAGATAACAAACCATTATCCATTATTAATGATGCTCCGATGATGGTAGTAACAGAGGATGTTAAGTTTTTAGAGTACATCTTACATGTTTCTGTATTGTTTGAATTTTATTATTGTAATTTTTGGGGGATGCCACAAACTGCACCTGTGTAAGACAGTGAACTTAATTGATAAATGTGTGTGTTCTGATGCTCCACCAACTGGCAGTTCCCCTGTCTCTTTCCCTCCGCTTAGGCCTCCCCCGAGACACAACAATATTAAAATTAGGCCAATTAGTAACCCTACAATGGCCTCTAAGTGTTTAAGTGAAAGGAAGAGTCAATCGATGCAGCAGACTTCATTGTTGTCTTATTTGAAAAAATTGCCACAGCCACCCCAACCGTCAGCAACCACCACCCTCATCAGTCAGCAGCCATCAGCATCGAGGCAAGACCCTCCACCAGCAAAAAGATTATGACTCACTGATGCTTAGTTGATGGTTCGCATTTTTAGCAATAAAGTATTTTTAAAGTATGTACATTGTTATTATAGACATAATGCTATTGCAGACAGTATAGTGTAGATATAACTTTTATATGCACTGGGAAACAAAAAAAGTTTGTGTGACTCGCTTTATTGCGCTATTCACTTTATTCAGGCGGTCTGGGACCAAACCCACAATGCCTCTGAGGTGTGCCTGTACTCAACACTCATACACATATGTCCCTCTTACCACTGTCCCTCTTAGAAAGATTAGGAGACAATGCTCAGAAGTTAAGCAACTTGTTTAATGCCTTGTAGCTAATCAGTGATGGAGGCCACCCCTATAAAGATACTGAGCATAGGGGAATATCGCTGAGGCCATGGGATCTGGTAGCAGAATAGACCCAGTCCAGGAATCCAGGAATCCTGGGATAGGGAAAAGGAGACCATAGGGTAAGGCAGAGGTCCCTGGGTCTCAGCAAATGGGTTACCTGACCAGAGACTCGGAGACAGAGTAGAGGGGTGACTTATATTAGCGGGAGTGCAATCTGAGAGGGACAGAAGATAGCTCCTGGTCTTACCAGGTGCCTCCCGCCCCAAACAGACACATTTATTGTGATACTGTTACCACAGATCCTAATAGGGAAATCGAGGGTGCACAGTGGGCTGTGCCTCACCTCTCCCCTCTCTCCAGTAACTGGCCTCCTTCAGCCACTTGGCTGGCTCGGATGGCAGCTGGGCAGGCTGTGTTCCCTGGGGCTGTGTTTGGGACCTGAGGACCCCTCTAGATACGGTCTTGGGCCAACAGTGGAAAGCGGAAAGGGCTTCTTTGGAAAAGAGGAGCTGGAGGTGTGGTTCCGGCCCACGGATTCAGTGAAGAGAAGCCTCTATGGGAGACGTGGCCACAGCCAGGTTAGCAGGAACAAGGTGACTGCGGAGGAAGCTGAGGGAGTTCCTACCCGGGAAGTTACTATCTCCAGGGACGGGGACATGAAGCCATCTTCTAAGGAGGCTGAAAGCGGTGACACTGGGGTGAAATTCTGGAATCTCCACCAAGCGGAAGACTCCGGTGGGATAAAGTCAGACGTTGCTCTGGTGGTTGCTAAGGCTTGGCTGGGGTTAAAGGATATTATTTGAGGTGGCTCCCAGTGCCATGTTTGTGCGACTTTTCCTGGCTGTGCTCAGCCACGTGAGTGTGGGTGTGACAAAGGGTGCAGTCTTGCAAGGTTTACCCAACAGGTGGATCACGGGGCAGGAAAATTGAGGGCACTGATGGGGGTGCGATCAGGGAGATGAATAATAAGAAAAATGATGGTGAAGATGGTATGGTAGTGGGGATGGCGGTGGGTGGGGCGATGGGTCCCAGGCTATGTCTAAGTCATGTTTGCGGAGAAGCATTTGAATACAGAAGGCTTATTGAATGGCAGGTGTCTGGAGGAAGAGAGGATAGCAAAATATCCATTTGCTAGGCCAGCCCCACAAGGAAAGAAGACCACAAGCAAAACATCCTCTAATCTGGGCACCAACTATCTCTAGAACTGCATCTGACAAATATTATAGCAGACAATCAATAGTTAGGAAGATTTCAATGAGTTGATGGATGTAAGTTGCTTAGGACAGTGCCAGCAGCTGGTAGGCATTAAGTTAGCTATTATTAAGATTGATATTATTTGTGCTCTCATGTGAGATAGTCCCAGGAGTTGCCAAAAATATTTAATTAAAGGGCATTTTAAAAGGTTGCTGAGGTCCTACATTATGCAAATGGAGACATGAGCCAGAAACTTTTTAATTTTAACTGGTAATGTGACTCCATTTGTACCCACAGGCTGATGAGGCCTGGGTGAACTTGGGCTACAGTTACAATAACAAAATCGATCATCTCTAGAGTATCTCTAGAGTGTTCAGTACACACTGGATATTATACTCATCCATATAATATGAGTGCATATAATATCTTTTAATACATAATGCGTGTATATATGATATCTTTTAATTTTAACCTTCTGCAACGTAATTATTTTTTCCACCATTTTATAGACAGAGAAATGGGTTCCAAAAGATAATAACTTGCCAAGCTCACAAATCAAGCAAGAAATGGAGCTAGGATTTGGATAATGGTTTCTGGGATAATTAGGGAAGAAAAGGTCAAAAAGAATAACAGTATAGAAGAAAGGAGAGTGCTTGAGAGCCTGGAACTACTCCTGCGACTGACTACTCCTGTTTGAACACTATGGCAGGCTTGATGTGTGCCAGGCACTCTACCAAGAACTTTGAGGCATGAATTCATTGATCTTTACATTTCTGTGAGATAGGACTTATTCTACCATCATTTTATAGATGAGGAAATGGAGTTTTCAAGGTGTGACGTTAACTTGCCCAAATCCACACATCTGTTAAGTGGTAACCATGAGCCCTGAACCCAGTTCATCCGACAGTCTTGACCAGGCAGGGACTGTTTTGTAAGTAGACGCTTCCGGGCACATGGCCATGCCCAGTCCTTTGTATTTTGTCTTTGTATTTAGCGCTACGATGGCAGAGCTGAGTGGTTGTGAGAGAGGTGAGATGGCTCACAGTCTAAGATATTTATTATTTGGTCTTTTAAGAAACAATGTACTGACCCCTGCTCTTGACCCCTACGTGACTCAGCTTGGCGTGATTAATCCAAGAGGTCAGCGAAGTGAGCATAGAAGGATGGGAGAGCAGGAGGGATGAAAAAAAATATCATCAGGAAGTATCAGAAAGTGTCCTTGGGACAGAGGCCCAGCATGGGGACCCCAGAAGCTGGATGGGCTGTCCACATGGGCACTGAAGCTATCTAGGAGGGTGGGAAGCTTTGGGGTAGAGTGGAAGACTGAGCCTCATATCAGAACTCTGCAAATGCGGCGGAGTGACGAGGAAGATGTCAGGTGATACGTACGGACTGAAGTTATGGGGCTGAAGAAGAAAAAGGGGAGAAGAGCAATGATGGGGAAAGAGGAAGGAGGTGTAAGGAGAAGCCTGGCCACCTTTATTCCAGGCCTGAGCACATGGGGCGAAAGGCTAAGCCGCCTGGAGGGCACCAGGATTGGCGCGGGCTCCCCGGGACCCAGCCCACTGCACTCCTCGCTCTATGCCGGCTTCTGCCCTGCCAGGTCTGGCTGGCCCTGCTCTCAGCAATCTCTGCCACCAGGGCCCTTACCTGTGTAGTCGATGATGAAGCCAGCATTGCTCACTGACGCGTCGCTGCGGAAGGCGAGGAAGAGGCTGTTGCTGCTGCTCTCAATGCGGCCTGGGAGCTGGGAGCCATAGAAGCTTCCTATGAGAGGGCTGAGAGAGTCCCGTCCGTCGTAGATATGGAGGAAGTCATAGCCAGGCTCCAAGTTAAAGCTGGGGAACAAAAACATCCCGCCCCCACCCGGCTAAGGTCAAACAAAGGCTCATGCTCGGCTCAGCCAAAGGACATAGCCTCCCAGACAGCAAGCCCTCTGTCCCACTGGTGTCCAACCCCCAGGATTCCTGGTGGGAAGGGGGAGGACGAAGTCCCACGGCCCCCCAGTCACACAAAAAGATAGATAAGTCAGGATCAGGGGCAGGGGAGGCCGATTCCAGGGTCAGCGTCCAGAAAGCTGGAGCTGAAAAACTAACATCCTTTATTTTTAAGAAAAATGTTTTTGAAATATAGTTGGCATACACCAATATAGTTGGCATAGCTTTACGGTGTACAAAACATTGACTGATACATTTCTATACGGTAAGATGACTGGCATCGTAGTGATAATCAGCACTTCTATCATGTCACAATGACCACTTCTTTTTAACGGTTGGAAACAGTGAGATCTGGACTCTTCGTAAGTTTGGTGATTATAATACAATATCGTCGTCTATATTCAGTATGCTGTGCATGGAAGGGAACATGAGTTACCAACGCTACACGCCCAGAGGTCAGCCAGAGGCGGTCCAGACCCGTTTCTCTTCCCTGCCTCCAACATCTTTATACTGTGCTCTGTGGCATCTGCTTTTCCAAGAGAGAAAGAGCCACCCAGGGAGCCATTCCCAGGCAGGAAGGGGCCTGTTCCCTCTGAGGTCCCTATCTTCATTCCTGTATCCCCGAGCAAGTTCTCAGCGCTCCTTAGGATCTGCTACCACCCCACCCCTGGCACCCTCAGCTGTGCCTCTTTCTTAGCTGTCCTGACCCGAGTGTGAGGAAAAAAAAATCCATTTTCAAAACTTTCTTAGTTTAGTAAGTTGAATATTTGAGTTCTTGAACGTAATTTACCCCACTGGAATGGCTACAGTGAAAATGGTGGGAAATACCACCCATTGGCAAGAATGTGGAGCCACTGGAGCTCTCAAGCCCCCTGGGGGAGTGTAAATTGGTTCAACCACTTTGGAAAACTGTTTTGCAACATCTACTAGATCTGGATATAGGCCTGCTGAATGACACAGCGATTCCACTCTTAGGTATATATCCAACAAAGGCAATTGGAACTAAGCAGGTATGCAAAGGTGAAAACAACAGAACCAAAGAAGTAGATGAGTTTGCAGAGAACGGACTGCAGGCACCAGACAGAGACCTCCAACAGGTGGGTATAGGAGGCTGCAGCTCAGAAGAACGTCTGGGAAGGTGGAAGAGAGGTCTCCAGTTTATAAGAGAAGAGCCATGGGAGTGGGTGAGCGTGTCCAGGAAGAAGATGTGGATGAGAAGAGAAAAGGCCCGTGAGATTGTCTGGCAAGGGAAGAGGCGCACTAAAAGGAAGGCGCGAAGTCACAGAAGAAGTCGGAGAACTAGAGGGGAGGAACTTCACAAAACCCAAGGGGAAGAAGCAGAGTAAGGATGGAGGGAGCGATCAAGAGGCGCAGGAGGATAAAACGTGGGAAGTTCCATTTTGTTTGGCAACCAGGAGTTCGTTGGTGTCTTTTATCAGAGGAGTTGCCAGTGGAACCGTGGAGACAGGGATCAGATTTCAGTGGTTTGGGACTCGATAGGAGAAGAGGGGGAAAAAGGAGAGAAAAGCAGAGACATTCCTTTGAAGAGCTTGCCTTTAAAAGGAATAAAGGAGATTCTGCAGCAGCTAGATGGGGGAGCACCTGAGAAAAACCTGAGCCTTTCTGTGTGCTGGGGAGCGTTCTGGAAGGAGCCAGGCGAGAGCAGAGGAGGAAAATGCAGGGAGGCAGATGAAAAGGATCCAGCAAGGCCCTACTTTCTGAATCTCAGCATCTTCAGAGGTAAAAAAAAAAATAATAATTAATAATAATAGCTACTTCATAAATTATGATAAAGATTAAATAAGATAATATATGTGAAACCACTGAGCATGGTGATGGGCACACAGGAGACACTCCACAAAGGCTAGTTCTTCTCCTTGTTTTAGACTCCACCTCCGGGGGAACGGAGAACCGCTCACAGCAGACCTGTGCCTACTCACCTAGAGACCTGCGTCTGCAGCCCCTAGCAGCTCCGAACCCTTTGTCTCCCACCCAGGGGAAAGGTACATACATGTTAAATACCAGGGCGATGACGTAGTCTGGCGAGACAGTCACCCTCCAGTCGCACTCCTTGCCTGGTGGGTAGGGCTCTGGGTAATTTGGAGACAGGATCACTCCTGATGGTCCTGTCAGGTCTCCCCCGCATGGAGCTGAGAAGAGAGGGAGACAAGGGTGAGACTGTCTTTCACAGGGTCACACGTTAGTGGGAATTCATAGACACAGTGGAGGAGGGAGCGAGAATGATACACCTACGTTGACACCTGGCTCTGCGGGGGGAGAGGGGGACAGGAGGTGGAATGTAATGGGTGTGAGGTTTTACCTTGAAGCGATGGAAACGTTTTAAAACTAGATACAGGTGCTGGTCACACAACATTGTGAATGTACTAAATGCCACTGAATTGTCCACTTTTAAATGGTTAATTGTATGTTCTGTGAATTTCACCTCAAGGAATTATTCAAAAAACAAAAACAAAAGCCCTGGCTCTGTCACTTCCTGGCTGTGTAAGCTTAGGGAATTGACCTAACCTCTCTGGACCTCGGTGTCCTTCCTCTATTGCAAAAAAGGGATACTATCTCCTTCATGGCGCGGATGCCAAGATTTTGGAGATGCCTCTTAAAGCATTTGGCATACCATAAGCAGTTAATACCTGGAGCCATCGTGCGTCTTTTAGACACATGAAATACCTGGTCTCCCCGCACTGCCTCACATCCCGTTTCCAGGCGAGCATTGTGGGTATTTACCAAGAGTTCTAGTGCACTTCATGTCAGGAGGAGTGGCCAACGCTAGCATGCTCACCTGCCAAGCGCTCTGGCCTCCTACATCGCCAGTGCTCCTAGCATCTGCTTAGGGCTTGCAGATACCTTCCAATTCTCCAAAAGACCTTGTCCAAGAGAGCATGTAAACCTCAGTTGTGTGGAGATATTACAAATCCCCAATTAGTCCATGGTGGGCCCTCTCCCCTGAGATGACAGGCCTTTCCAGCAGGCAGGGAGAGGGAAGGTGGCCAGGGAGACAGCAAGCAAGCGGCTCACCAGTGACCCCGCTTGGCACTGCCCAGATTCTGAATCAGGCTCTTCCCTAACTGGCTGGGTTACTGCACTGTAGCAGGAGGCTTGGATAAAGTGGAGGCTGGGCAGTGAGTGGGGTCATTAATAGGAAAAGATGGCCGAGGCTATAAACGTGGCTTGGTCTGAAAACCACAGGGCGCCATCAGAGGTTGGCAGTGGAGTTGGCAAATAGTGAGCCCACAGGAGTGTGGAGAGCCGTTTCAGAGGAGGCCAGAAAATTCAAGACTGGACATGGAGGCAGGAGCTAGCAGTGTATCCAAGACCGAACTTAACAGCAGCTGCTTGCTCGTCACAGAGCTGAGCTTTATGGCCTCACAGCATAGCTTTTACTCAGAGCGATGCTTAAAGGGCTGGAATCAATCCCCAGCAGGGTCTCTTTAAAATCTGGTAGGTCTTCAAGCCAGTCCATAAAAGCCCTAACACGGCTGAACATAAAACCCGAGTGGTCGTGAGTAGTGTGTTTTTTCTGTGGAAAATGTTTCTCATCGAGTGCCAGAAACAGTCAAGTGGGTACCTATTAAATGTTAGACACGACCCATACCGTTGTAGATACAATATCTCATGTATGTCTCCTAGCAACTCAGTGAGCTATGGGTTATTCTTCCTGATTTAAAACAGAGGGGCGGAGGCTCAGGGTGGTGAAGTACTTGGCCAGGCTCGCTGAGACTCAAACCCACATGTCTCTGACTCCGCAGTCCATCATTTTCCTATTCTGCGACACTGCCTTGGAACGATTGGTGGCAGTGGGACTGTTCCTACCCTCAGGCTGGCAGGGGAAATGCCCCATTTGCGAGAGCATCTATGCGTGCAGATGGTTCTTTGAGTCAGGTCTGCCGTGTAGCTCACTCGCTTCTTCGCCACTGAGCCTTCCCTACAGAAGATGGTTAGATGAATGGGACAGACGAAAGGCTTGTGTGATCAGGGTAAAAGCTTGAATTTGCCAGAGCAAGACCACACTGTCCAGTCCACAGAGAGTGGCCCTACTCAGGCTGGCCTAGAAACACAGTGTGACGCAGCCAGCGAGAGGAGAAAACCGGTGTCATGTCAGCTGCCCAGCTCCCTGGGGGAATCCTCCCAAGGGGGCACAACGATGCCTCCATTCGGGCAAGGGCTACCAGGCGGAGCCTTCCTTGGCAGCTCAAGGATGTCTTCCCTTAAGTTTGCCACAGGTGGGGTAAATCTGGGAGTTTCTGAAATGGCGCCCGTTTTTCTCCCCAAACTCGGCAGATCATTCCAGAAGAAAAATGGTCCCCATTTTTTTCTTTCCCCAATCCCCAGAGTTGGCTAAGAATTGGGCAGGCTGTACTGAGGAGTGAGAGTTGTGGAAAAGGCCATCAATTTTGAAGTTTAATAGTCCTGGGTTCAAATGTGACTATGCCACTTATTGGCTGTGAGCCTGGGCAAGCTATCCCACCTCTCTGAGCCTCACTGCCTCATCTATAAAATAAAAGTAATAATGATGATAATGGCTTCTAATGCATACAGTATTTACTGTGACCAGGCAGAGTTCTAAGAGCTTTATGGTATTATCTTATTTAATCCTCAAAACAACCCAATAAGGTAGGTACTTTTATTTTCCCTATTTCACAGGGGAGGAAAATGAGGCACAGGAGATGAAATAATTTATCTAAGGCCGCACAGCTTCTGGTGGCGAAGCCAGACTTGAACCTAGGTGGTCCAGAACCTCGGCTCTAAACTTACCACGTGGTGATTCTATTTGTGATCATGGTGCTACACGGTCCAGCCCAGTGCCTATCATAGAGATGATGCTCAATAAACACTTGTTTTCTTCCTTTGCTTCCTCCCTATCACGAAGGAATGCCAAAGCCAGCCAGGCCAGTCATGGCAGACGGCCAGGGGAGCTGGAAATTAGGGGCTTGTGACTGGGATTTCCAGACTGTTTGAGAGAAGGGGCAAAGACATTCATTTTGTTGCCCGAGGAACATCCCCCAGGCCTCAGCGTGCAGAAGAATGGGTAATGAGAGCTGGAGTAACCTCTCTGCTCGGCTGGCCGCCCATTCACTGCTCTCACCAGCTTCACACAGTGCAGCCCTCCTTTGCCACCCGGGACAGTCTTGTCTCAGGACCTGCTTTTCTGTAAGATAAGGGACCACTGCTGTAGAGGACGCTGAAATTGAAAGTGGCCTCAGAGCTTATCTGATTCCCTCCAGGGCCTTCCCAGACTTTCCCTGATCCTATGATTCTGGCTCAGGGAAGGGAAGCCAGTCCAAAAACTTGAAAGAAGGAAACAAAGAGAGGAAGGAAGGACAGAGGAAGGAAGGAGCGAAGGAGAGAAATGAGCACGTCTTGAGATTATGGTTAGTTGTGTGCTCATCCCACAATGCCATGAGGGACGTACATTGACTTTCACTTTACAGATAAGGAAACCGAGGCTCAGAGCGTTGAAGCAATTTTCCCAAGGCCACTGAACTAGTAAGTAGCAGAGCCCGGAACCAAACCCGGATCTGTCTCCTTCACTCTCCCATACTCCTTCCGACATATCACAACATGTAGTTGAGAACTGATCTGGTGTTGGAACCCACATCTCAACATCCTGTCCACTCTATATGCACCATGCCCCTGTCACACATACCCAAGTGACTCCTAATTACCACTGAGGGACAGGATGTAAGGTCTCACCTTCAAGGCCAGGCCTCAGAGCACGACCAGCAAAGGCCAGTCCCCGTATGCCTGGACAGCATCTCCCACTGAGCCTGGAAGAGGGGCAGGCGTCGCCGGGTGGACGCTGCTGGGGTATACGTCTCAGGATGTCCCCTGAGCCCACCTGCAGCGTGGGAGTCAGTGTGGAGTGAGGACAACGGCAGGCTCTGCATTCGGACTGATCTGGGTGTGCATTTGGGTTCTGCCCTACCCTAGCTCTGTGATTTGGAGCAAGAGATTCACATTAGGGTAAGTCTCCCTTGCCTCAACCATAAAATGAGGAAATGGTGCTCAATTAGAGAGTTACGAAGTTAAATGAGGTTGTGTAAATATTATACATGTCTCGTATGGGGCTGGCCCATGCAAGGCCTCCGTGACTATTGGTTCCCTTCTGACACCCACTGTTGACATGAGAAGTACGTTCGGTATTTTGCCACGTGGAAGGGAGCACCTAGATGTTTGTTTCCGTCTATCTCTCTTTCTTTCCTGTCTTCCTCTCACTTCAAGCTCCATCCTCCTCCCAGTCTTGAGTTGCTAGGGAGCAGGAGTGTTCAGACCCAACCCCTACGAGCTACATGACCTTGGACACATCTCAGAGCCTCCATTTCTTCATCTGTCAAATTTGAAGACTGAGGACAGGTCTAGAGAACCAACATCCAGATAACCAAAGATTTCCTTGAGAAGAACAAGGTTCTTTCCTGGATACCTGAGTCTATACCTTCCAGGGCTTCAGGGATGGAAGAGTCACTTTGGAACCTGCTGACCCTACTACCCAGAGTGACCATTGTCCCCCTTCCAATCTATACATCCTGGGCCGGGAGAAAAAGAACAGACATGCCTGGCTTAGAAATCTTAGGGATCATTTTGGAGAGTGAAGAATTTGTAGTGTGTAGAGTGTGAGTGTGTGTGTGTGTGTGTGTGTGTGTGTGTGTGTGTGTGTGTGTGTATGTGTACATATGCATGCAAAGCAGAGTAAACTTCGGGTTTTCTGCCACTTTTAGCTATTCCGATTTTTCTGGCCAGGCTGAAGATGCCACTTATATGGGTGGGGGGATTGAGGAGGGGGGGCCTGGACCACCCAAGTGGTGGGACCAGAGGGCAGGGTTCACATTGTAGCTGCTTTGTACCGATGCATGTTGGTGGGCTGGGCTGCCAGAAGAACCTGTTCTCAATCTTCACACAGCTGATCTCTGCGCTCCCCTGCAGGGCATAGCCAGGGTCACACTGGAACAACGTGGAGTCGCCGGCTTCCCAACTGTTGCCACTCCGGCTCCCATTCTGTGGAACCCCAGGGTCATTGCACGATGTTGCTGTGGACACTGGGACAAAGAAACAGAAGAGGAAGTGGGGTTGCCTCGCTGTCTGCCGGACAATGAGACTCCCAGCACATCACCCTCACTGACATCACCACTTCTGTCACCAGGGCCACTGCCGTGATCTCCGTCACCTCCCACCAGTGTCATCAGCTGTGGCAACGGGGCCACCATCTCCGTTCTCACCCCTGTTACTGTCACTACTGCCACCACCACTAGGACCACCACCCATTCTACCAGTTTCTTCACCATCACCGTCATCCACCGGTCACGAGAAATGATGAGTGACATGTGATTGCGCTACTATGATTGCAGAACTGAGTTCAGTTTGATTGAATGATACAAGCCTTGTTCCAGACATAAGCTTTGCAATTTCGTATACTGTGGCTAACATGATCAGGACGAGGGAGTGACAAGATCGTTAAGTAAAAACTCCAGATTCAATTCCAAGGGGCTGCAAAAAAGTTCGGAAGCCGGCTGCCTGAGCGCTGAGCACTGAGCGTTGAGCACTGCGCGCTGAGCAGTGGCTGCGAAGGTGCGTAGAATTACTCAGTTGGGTGAAAGCCATATTCTTCCTCCCATGGCAAACAACCAAAGATCTATCAGACTGGAACCAAAGAAAAATCTGAGGTTCGTAACAAAGTAGAGTTCAAAACAAATCTATGTATCTGAGGTGTATTAAAAATTCGGAAACTCAGGAATTGGGGAGATGTGTCATCTAAGACCTAAGCTGGTGTAATTCAGAGCAGACACCAAATGAGTGATGGAAGGAAGGGATAGATGAATAACAGAATGAGTGAGTGAGTGAACGAAGCATGAGAAAAACGTACCAAAGGAAATGGTATAAGAGAACGTTCAAAGAAAGGATTCTGAGGCAGCTGCAACAACCCCATCTGCCTCCAGTCCCTACTCCTGTCTTTGTTTACACGCTGGCCGGCAGGCCCCAGGGACAGGAAGACCACAGGATCTGGAGACCACAGGATCAATAACATTCATGTGCTTGGAAGGTTAGTTTTTCTTAGAAATTTTGGGAGAAATAACGTACACTAAAACCAATGAATTTATCATGGAGTAGAATGTAAAATTCATATTAGTTCTTAAGCAAAAACATGAAGCCTCCAAGAGAGAGAAGGCTTCCTACACCTTCCAGATCTTCTGAAAATATGCATTCACGTTCTTCTGCTACCCTGTTTTCCCGAAAACAAGACCTAGCCAGAAGATAAGCTGTAGCATGATTTTAGGTGCCAAAATATGGTACCTTAGCATACTGAATATTTTAAGCTGAAGGAGTTTGTGGAAAAGGCACCCTTCTTCCTGAAACAGGTCATGAAACCCTCATTTGAGGGATGCATGCCCTCCACATCCTGGAGGAATCATGCTAGGGCTTCTTCTCTGGTGAGGTCTTATTTTTGGGGAAACACGGTATTAGGAGGACTTCAGTGGAAGCACCAGCCTAGGGCAATTGTACACACTCATATGACAAGTTATAAGATCCGGGATTGTGACTACGAGTCTGGAATTATAGTATCTAATACATTATACCCAGTAGCCCCTACAGTAGCATACAACAAACGGGGCTCACAGCCAGATCCGGCTCTATGCCTGTTCTTGTAAATAAAGTTTTATTGGAACACTGCCATGCTCTTTTGTTTACATATGGTCTGTGGCTGCTTTGGGGCTATACTGGCAGAGTTGAATTGTTATGACAGAGATCCTATTGTCCGCAAAGCCTGAAATATTTACTCTCTGTTTTTTTTATAGAAAAAGTTTGTTGTCTCTTGGTATATGGTACCCTATCTTAAGACCTCTTTTGAGACCATATTTTAAACCCTATCCTTTGCTTATATCCAATTTTAATCATTAACACTATTAATGATCTGCTATCACTATGCTCCAGTTGCATTTGTAAAATCTTCCAACACAGCCAGCTCGGTCCCCTCCCCACCTCCCCCAGGACCTTTGCACTTGCTGGTCCTTCTGCCTGAAATGATCTTGATACATAGCTTCTTATGCCAGCTCCATCGTACTCCGTTCTCATCTCTGATATCGCCTCCTCATGCAGGCCTCTTTGCTCACCTTCTCCTGGGCTTATCCCTTAACTCCCTTCCATACATGTTATCACATTACCCTGTTTTGTTCTTTTCCTCGCACAACCTGTAACAATCTTGCTAATTTATTGGTTTGCTTTCTTATTGTATATCACCTGGGCATCTCTACGGGAACAGAGACCTTGGCTGTTTTGTTTCCAATTGTAGCCCCAGGGCCTAGAACAGCACACAGCACACAGCACACAGCAGTGCTCAGTAAATATTTGTTGAATGAATACATAAATGAACAAATCATCACCATCTGACACTGAATTTATTTACCAAGTCAAATAAGAATCAATCTTCTTCCTTCCCAATTAAAAACAGACTTAGTTTTCATCTCCAGCTTTCTAGTGTACTGTACACATGCAAATGATTCCTTAGAAGAAAAATAGCTCCCGGTTTGGACCATATTCAGAAAGATTATTTATATGGGAGGCTGTAGAGTGAAATGATTAAGAGCCTGGATTTGGGAATCAGACACAGGGATATTGATCCAGGCTCTGCTACTTATTAACTAGACGACCTTGTAGGAGAAACTTCTCTGGGCTTCAGAGCTCACATTGGCAACAAGGATTAATAGTGGTGCCCAACCCTTAAGCTTTTTGTGAAAACTATGGGAGAGAATGGAGTCGCGAGCTAAGCGTGGTGCCTGCTCAATAGATGGCAGCTATTAAGCTTCCCTCTCCTGCCATGCTCCCCCTCACCTTGTTTTGTTCTCACTTTCTCTCTTTAATGCTCCTGTATTTGAGCTGCTTGGCCAAGCCCTCGGGGAAAGGCTGGATCCACGTGGTACAGACAGGATGTTAGATGTTACACAGTCATGTTTACTTACTAAAGCCCAGCCTGCACTAATCGTCCCTGGCATTTCTGCACAATCCCCTGTCAAATACACACTATAAAGTTAACATGGGGTGAGCTATTCTCTCTTCCCCAGGGTAGTCCTGGTATTTGTTAACCAATGACAGCAACAGGGAAGGTGACCTTTCCTGAACCTCGGTTACACCTAGAGCACTGGGCCAGGTTGTCACGGCCTTCCCGGAGTCCAGGCTACGTAGCTCTGCCTGTTCTCCCTTCGATGGATCTAAGCAGGGCTCAGCGTGGCTTGCCCAAGGAAAGCCTTGTGTTGGAGAAAACCCTCCATTGATTTGTTCATGTCTTCACATGCCCAGTTGTTCACTAAGCAGCGAGTGAGCACCGGCTGTATGCACTGTCCGACCGGCATGATGTAGCCCCTAACCCTCTACGAGCTACCTGGGGGACGCGAGCAGGTGGCCAGCTCCCATAGGAAGCAGAGTGTCTGCAACGGACAATGTGCTGAAGAAACAGAAGTAAAGTGCCAGGGGTGCCACAGGCCACGGCAATTTATTCTGAACGGGGCTATTAGGAAGACGCGGCATCCGAGAGGAACCTTGCAGGAGGAGGAGTATTTCTAGGAGCTGGGACATGTATAAGAAAGCCGCCAAAGCTGCTGGGCGAAGGTGTGGCTCCTGAGAGCGGCCAGGGACTCTGTCCTGCGTGGCGACACTGAGGAAGGACACACAGTGGAGGTCAGATAATGCAAATCCATGGGGGAATCTGTCAGAACAATTATGGGCTTTTTTTTTTTAAAGCCATACGCATCAGCTTGAACAGAGTCAGAGAAAATACATGTCTAGTTTAATTATTCATAATACTCCTTTCCCCAGAGAGTGCACTGAGCCGTGTCTTTAGCATTCTACCCTCCTTATTGCTGGGAGATCCTTCAATTGCTTAACCCAGCAACTTCCAAAGGTTGTTCCATGAAACGCTCGTCTCTTGGGATGGTCCAGAAATACATCATCCATAGCCAAATACGCGTGGGAACTGTGGCCTACCGGCACCTTCTGACTGTATCCGTATGGGCAGACCTAACGTTCTGAGAGGTCCCGAATGACAGGTCACCTCTTTAGGTCTGCCCCAGCCTAAGCATCTTCCCCATATTGCCTGACCAGGCAAACTTCTTTTTCCTGCAATACCAATGAACAGTCTATGGAATTCCAGGGAACAGAGGCTAGGAAATGCTTATCAAAAATGACCCCTTTGTGGTCCCATGCCAGGACCCTAATCTGAGACAAGTTCAGTGTTACTCAGTGGTCCCCAAGGAACTCTCTTCATGGGTGAATGGGTGCCAGGGTTTCGAGTAAGAAGACTCCCAATGAACGCTGCAAGGAGCTCTTCCTCGCTAGGCTGGAAGCCTGCATGAGTGTTAAGTGGGCAAATTAATGAGCATAAATGAACTTGATCCTGGAGACTCCCATCTACCCCCCACACTGCTAAATGCTCATCTCTATGGATTAGATGGATTATAAAAGAGCTAGAGGTAGGGTCTGTAACCCCATTACAGCCTCATTGGTGCCAGGGATACACTCCATCACCCTTAGCTGATACACCAACCGGATGAGAGTGTGGAGGCAAAGGTACAGCACAGGTGCCACAGAGACATGCTCCAGAATCACCATGGAAACCCCCCCCTCACACAAATAGACCGTGGAGTAAAGAGATGGTAATGAAGACAGCTGCTGTATAATAAACATAAGCCCAGGCCGAGGCAGAGTCACTTGTGCAGAGAGATGAGTGATGGAAGAGGCACTTCAGAGGAGATGAGATTATGCATCACAGGGAGAGGCAGGACCAATCATATAAATTATCTAATATTGGGACTTGATGTTTGAGCATTGCCCATTTTTGGTAGCTTTTTGTCATGCTCCTCCATAATTGGCTACGGCAGTACATAATTAATTGAATTTAGATTACTCACATTTGGCTTCCAGACCTTTACTAAGCTAAGAACCAGAGCATGTGCCCTGTCAGATCAGCTCTTCCCTAACTACATCCCACACCACTGCTGACTTGTATGTCCCCTGCATCCCTCCACGCTCCCTGTGTTTCAGCCACAGTGGGCAACCCTCCACTTCTGAACCTATTACCCTGCCTCTGCTCTTGCCCCTGTGCTCTTTGCACCCACAATTCCCGTTTTCTCTCTTTTTCACCTAATAGAGGTGCACAAAATGCTCCAAAGTCCAATGCAGCGGCCAGGCCAACTCCATGACACAGCTGACCACTCACTCCTTGAAAAACTGTCTTTTCTCCTGTAACTTCTACTCATCTTCGGGTCTAAGCTTGGGCATCATCTTTCTTTGAACATCTTCCTGGATGCTCCAAGGTGAGCATCGCAGTTTATGTTTCACCCTCCAGACACTTATCTATTTGTATGTAAGTGCCTAGTAACCTGCCTGTCTCCCGGCAACCTTCTGCTCCACCGAGTAAATGAAGCATGAACATTGGAACAAGCACTTATCATGTACCAGGCACGTAGCAGATGTTCAATAAATACCTTTACACGAGTGGAGATGGAGGAACGGAGGGACTGGGGGGAGGGGGAAGGGAGGCTGGTGTCGTGCAGCAGGACACATGGGGAGGGGGCGGGCAGAAGGCAAGCACACACCTGAGAACTGAATGGCAAAGCCCTGCTTGCTGGTGAAGAAGTCGGTGCTGAACTGCAGGACGACCGAGTTGAAGGTGCTGTGCAGGTCCCTGGGCAGGGCCGGGCCGCTGAGCTCCTTGAGCAGAACCCCACTCTCCACAGGCCCGTCCCAGATGCGCAGCACGTCATGGACCTCTTCCGTGTCGAACACCAGGAAGTGGAGCCTGAATGGAGAGAGGAGGCAGGTAGTCAGACAGGGCTCCGCCCCTTCTTTCCAGTTGCTGCAGGGCAGGGAGGGTCATAAACCTAAGGAGGACTTGCAGGGAGGAAGAGAAGGCAGTGTCTGGCAGCATCCTCATAACTCCCACCCAGCCTGCTCCTCCCACCGGGGTCACCGGCAACGGAGACAAGGGTGAAGGGTGTGGGTCTTGTGCATCTTTTTTGTTATTACGAGCTTCATGTTGCCACCGTCAAATCCCACCGTCCCTTCAGCTCTACACAGCCCCAGACCTCACCCCTGTGATCAGAGCCGTATCCTTCTAGATTGGAAGGCGGATGCTGGGTCCCCAGTGGGAGAGGGTAGGGTCCAGGTTAGATAAAGGGTATAGGTAAAAAAACAAATAGTCAAAATCCCAGCAAGTGATTTTGTGGATATCGCCAAACTGATTCTGAGGTTTATGGTGAGGCAAAAGACTGGAAACAGCCCATACAATGCTGAAGAAGAAAAATGCTGGAGGGCGGACACTACCTGATGTCAGAACTTACTATCAAGCTACTGTAATCAAGACAGTGTGGTTTGGTGAAAGGATAGCCAAATACATCAGTGGAAGAGAATGGAGAGCCCAGAAATAGACACCCATATGGTCACGTGATCTTTGACAAAGGAACAAAAGGCAACACAATGAAGCAAAGATCGTTCCTTCAACAAATGGTGTTGGAACAACTGGACACCCACAGGCAAAAAAATTAATCTAGACACAGACATTAAACCCTTCACAACAAATTAACTCAAATGAATCACATACCTAAATGTAAACATAAAATGAAAACTCCTAAAAAATAACACAAGGGAACACCTAGATGAACTTGGGTATGGTATGACTTATTAGATACACCAAAGACATGATCTATGAAAAAAACAACCGATAAGCTGGAAGTCACTAAAATGAAAAATTTCTGCTCTGCAAAAGACACATCTGGAGCCGGCTGAGTGGCACGTTGGTTAGGAACTGGTTTGGGATGCCAGAGGGACCCGGTTCGGATCCCACATATGAGGGCCAGTGACACTGCCCTCTACAGCTACGATGCTGAACAACAGCTCGACCTGGAGCTGGGCTGCCATGGGTCACCGGCGATGGTGTAGGCTGCAGCCTCTGCTGCAGTGGGCTGCCATAAGCTACCGTGTGTAGCCAGCAGCCAGCGTGAGTGGCCATCCAGAGGCCAGTGACTGATCTGCCTCGCCCGGGAAGAGCACAATGATGGTGCCAACTTGGGCCAGTGAAGTGATGTCCTCCACAACTAGACTGAAGAACAAAACGACAGCAACTTGTCTGTTCCCTTTCCCCCGATTCCCCAGCGCTGTTTCCCTCCCGCAATTCCCCAATAATAATAAAAAAAAGACACATCTGATAAAAAACTGTTATCCAAAATATATAAGAATTCTTAAATTAACAATAAGAAAACAAGCAACCTGATTAAAACATGGGTTACAGACCTTACCAGACATGTGACCAAAGAAGATACACAAATAACAAATCAGCCCATGAACAGTTGCTCCACATCACATGTCACCAGGGAAATGCAAACTAAAACAGCAATGAGATACCACTACACACCTATCAGAAAGGCCAAAACCTGAAACACTGACACCACCAAATGCTAACGAGGGTGTGAGGCAACAGGGACTCTCACTCATTGCTGGTGGGAATGTGACATGGTACAGACACTTTGGAAGGCAGCTCAGCAGTTTCTTACAAAATGGAACATGTTCTTACGATATGAGCCAGTAATCACCCTGCTTGGTATTTATCCAAATGCATTGAAAATTATGTCCACACAAAAACCTGCACTTGGATGTTTATAATGTTTTATTCATAATTGCCAAAGTGTAGAAGCAACCAAGATATCCTCTAGTAAGTGAATGGATGAATAAACTGTGGTACATCCAAAAAATGGAATATTATTCAGCACTAAAAAGAAATGAGCTATCAAGTCATGAAAAGATATGGAGGAACCTTAAATGCATGTTACCAGGTAAAAGAAGGCATTCTGAAAAGGCTCCATACTGTATAATTCCAACTCTATGACGTTCTGGAAAAGGTAGAACTATGGAGACGGTAAAAGATGGGTGGTTGCCAGGGGTTGGGTCAGTGGGAGGGATGAACAGGTGGAGTCAAAGAACTTTTAGGGAAGTGGAAATACTCTTAGGATACCACAATGGTGAACGCATGTCGTTATACATTTGTCCAAGCCCATAGAATGGACAACACCAAGAGCAAACCCTAATATAAACTATGGACTTTGGGTGATAATGAGGTGTCCAGGTAGGTTCATAAACTGTAACAAATGTCCCACTCTGGTGTGGATGTTGATAATGGAGGAGGCTGTGCGTGTGTGGGGGAAGGGGTACCTGGGAAATCTCTGTGCTTTCCTCTCAGTTTTGTTGTGATCATAAATCTGCTCTAAAACAATTAAATATTAAAAAAAAAGGAGTGGGAGGCTAATGGGCAGGCGTTGCTGCGGGGTCTCTGAGAAGCTGGCTGCAGTAGGGGTAAGGATGAGCCTATACCTCAGTTTCCCCAGAGCAGGACTCGGGATACGAGCTATGTACAGGCTTGCTTAGATAATCCCTGACAACCTGAGGAGGCCAGGCAGGGGTCTCCATGTGTGGGGTGCCTGCTGACCCCAAGCCGAGGTCAGCAGGAGCCTGAATTCTTCCAGAACAAAAGGTTTCTGGTTGCCAAAACTACCTTGGTCATGAGCCTGTGTAACACTCTCTCTTCTAATTGATTTGCATTTTGGAATAATTTTAGACTTACATACAAGTTGCAAAGATAACTTTGCAAAGATAATACAGGGAATTCCCATAGCCTCCTCACCATGTCTCCTGTTGTTAATAGCTTACATTTTCCCGGTACATTTGTCACAGCTAAGAAACCAACACTGGGACCTCACTGTGAACTCAACTCCAGACTTCATTTGGATTTCCCTTTTTTCAGGCTCCAATCCATTCATCACTATCTCCCTTTAAAAATATCTTTTTAAATTATAAAAATAAGACGTGCTCAAGGCAGAAAAAGGCAAACAACATACAGATGTGCTGGATTTTGAAAGTCTCTCTCACACAAACCAATCTGTTCTCCAGAGCTTTTCAACTCATATTGGTTTTGGTGCATATCATTCCAGACTTTGATTCAATGTGCACACACGTATTTTCCCCCCAAAATGGAACTATATGTTACGTCGTTTTTTATAACTTTCTTTTTTCTCTCAATACTATAGACATATACATTCATTTTTTTCCCACAGCGATGGGCATTGTTATATATTCCACTATTATTATAGTTTACCTAAGTCTCCCATCTTTACATAGCTTTGCACATTTCTGCTAATATTTCAGTTGACTTATAGAAATACTTTATTTAGGAGGAAAGGGTATACATTTTTCAAGTGTTGATAAATTATTCTTAAGTAATTGTGTCAATTTACATTCTCACTGAACAGTATTAATGTGACTCTTCTCTCTAAACTTCACCTCAACAGCATCCAATATTATCTTGTATATATATTCTGCAATAAAATCTTGCCCACCTGCTACACCAAAATGGAATTTCACCATTGTGTGTTTTAAGTTTAGATAATGTAGTAAGGTTGTGTATCTTTGCATATATTTATTGGCCATTTGTATTCCTTCATATCCTTTGTCCATCTTAATGGAGTAATTTGTCTTTTAAAATTCTATTTCTACGTTCTTTTTATCTATTATCTTTATAGATAATAAATTTGATGCCTCTTTTATATGATATATTTGCTGTTAATATTTTCTCCTAGCATCTGGTGTATTTTCCATTTAACTTTTTTTTATGGTGTCTATTATGGCATAGAAGTTATTCATTTTATGTAATCAATGATGTTAATCTTTTCCTTTAAGGATACTGAGTGTCACCTTATGCTTGGGCAAACGCTCCTCTTCCCCAAAGGACTGAAAAGCAAAACTTTAATATTTTCCCAGAACTTGTATAGTTTCAGTTTTGGGAAGTTTATAGGTTTATTATTTTTCCAAAAGGACACTCCATTGTCCCAACACCCATCTGAAGTGGCCTCTTTCATATTTTGACTATCAAAACGCTCTGTTTACTTCCTCCTTAGCATTTACTAGTCTATACTTCGTTAATTCATTGGTTGACTACTCATCTCCCCACCTGGAAGATAATGCTCATGAGGGTGGGACCAGGTCTTGTTCCCTCAGAGCCCCAGGGCCTAGGATGGGCCTGACACTTCGGATGGTGCACATGAATACCTGTGGGACGAAGGCACTGCTAACTGAATAATCCAGGTTCTTGCCCTGGGTGTGAGATGTTACCTTGGCTATGGGTCTGACCGTAGACTCTCTTCTCAGCTCCAGGGCTCCCCTCCTTTGTCTATAGTGGATTCTACTCGTGGCGCCAGGAACAAGCTACTCAGTTTGCTTCGGTTTTCCCATTCTCATATTTTGATATTCTTACAGGGCAAGTGCCCTTTCATATGTTTTCCCCAGAATGTCTTAGCTGATTTCCCAAATTCATCCTTTTAGATGAACTTTACACTTATTATTGCATGCATTTATTGATTAACTGGGGCAAATTGATATCTTTGTGTTACTTAGTTTCCCCAGCCAGGGATATTGTAGATATCTTACCTTATTTAGGGCTTAGTTTATATACTTTGGTGAAGCTTTATGACTTCCTTCTTTGTTACATTTCTTATTCATGTTTTGGTTTTGGCTCCATTGTGAACGGGATTTAATTTTTAGTTACATATTTACTGTTGGATTGTATATGTGTGTGTGTGTGTGTGTGTGTGTGTGTGTGTGTGTGTGTGTGTGTGTATTTCTTATTTTCAGTCACCAGTTAGTTCTAATAGGAGTCAAGTGACTCTTGGATTTCCTGAGTGGACCCTGTTATAGACATAGGTGGAGATTCCTCAGCACCAGAAGCTGTGTGGGTTTTCTCAATGGTTGTGTCCT